TATATATATATATATATATTATAATTTTTTTTAATATATATTGTGGCTGGAAGGGCATCCGTTGCGTAAAAGTTGGCAGTTCCTTCCGCTGTGGTGACCCAGGATTAAGATAAGGACTAAGCCGAAAAGAAAATGAATGAATGAATATTATTAAATATTACACACATACAAACACGCATATATACAGTGTATATATATATATATATATATACACACATATACACTGTATATATGCATGTATGTATGTGTGTAATATTTAATTTGTGAAACCAAATAGAAAGTTCTATGGATGTTGGTTCTGGTCTCTGTCTATTAAACAGATCTTAACATACATATTGCTTTTTTTCCTGGCTGATTTCTTGAAAGAGAGCGTTCCTTGTCTCAGCGATCTCCTCTTTCTTCTTAAGAATCTCAGGCAGATCCAGCTCTTCTGCCTGCAAGAAACTCAGACTAATAAACCAATCATTTTCATTTGGATGCAAAACAAAATGGGTAACACTTTACTGAAAAGTTGTTAATGTATTTACTAACATGAACAATGAAAAATAATTACAGTATTAGTTAACATTACTTAATAGCAAAAAAGTCATTCATTGAGGTGCATCATTTTTTTGGGTCAGTTTAAAATACATTTTTATTAGTTAACATTAGGTAATGTGTTTACTAACATGAACTAATAAAAATATGTTGAAATCAAAAAATCTAACCGATAACGATAACTCTGTATTCATTATTCAGTATTCAGTACTCAGTATTCAATGAGTTCCTCATTTAATGAAGTGTGGCCCCATATTGTGGTTTTCAGAGCAGATTAAGAAAGCTGTTCTCACCTCCTCCAGACAGCTGACTTCTACTAATTTCCATCGTAGCTGAGATCGCAAATTCCTAATCCGCTTCTTCACCACAAACAACTCATCTGCTTTAGGAGGGCTGCTCTGCCACTGCTGTACTTCCTGCTTAAACTGCAGTTAAACATTATAGCTGTGATGACCAACCAGTGAAACCAATAATGACTATAACAGCATCTTTATCACCAGCATTATGTATGACAAATCAATGTAAAAATGAATTAATCAATACAAGAACAATGAAATAAACCGAATAAAAGTGATAGTGGAGACATCTACAGTACGTCTTAAAAGAGTGTTATTTCAGAATAACTATTGTTCTTTTCTCTGCATTCTTCAAAGTAATCTAAAAAAAAAAAAAAATGTATTTATATACATTTATAAGTATTTATATACAATACAGTTTCCACATAAAATGAAACTGAACAACTTATGTCAATGTTCATTTGTTATAATTATGCATCATGAGCACTAAAATCAGCATAAAATCATTTCTGAAACACATGACAATCAAGACTGCAGAATATACAGTGGTTCCATCACATGAGTAAATTTTAATATATTATAAAGTAGAAAAAACATAAGTCAACAATTTCATAACATTTAAAAGGTTTTTACTTTATTTTTGATCAAGTTAAAGCAGTCTTGGTAAGCATAATCATACTGTCATATTGACATAGCTCAATAAATGCTTATTTTTGATGCTTTAATCCATTTTTTGCAGATCCTCAAATCAGAAAACATTGTCCACTCGATGTTTTTGCCTTTTTGTAGCCAGGCTCATAAATAATCCGTAAACATATAATTATTCCCTAAATTTGTTCATCTATTATTCTAAAAACAGCAGCTATTTAATCCTTTACCTTAGAGTTGAGGTCGTACATTTTCTTTATGTCCTCCAACAAACTTTGTTCTTTCTGGATGTCTTGCATAGCTTTGAGAAAGGCATTAAACACTATTTTCCTGTCTTGGTTGTTTTGTTTCTGTGAAAGCAAAAGTGTAAAACATATTTTTCCAATTGAGTAACAGTAAAGTTGCATTTTACATTTATGCAAACACAAATCAGAAATTTTACAGAATAATAAAAAACAAAGATTTTTACACTTTAAAATAGGCTTGTCAAATGTAGCAATTTTACTACCAAACGGTACTGAATTTGTTATCTGATGATGCTTATATATGCATCTGTATATATCAGCATCTGTGTAAATGCTTGGGGCAGAGCATAAAGCGATGATTACTGGAGCTAAATCACAGGTATCTGCTGAGCCTATGAACACAATGGCTAATTAGCAGTGTTTAAACGCCAGCAAACACCAAACTAAATAGTCCCATCTGGACCAAGGTTTTGAGCAAAAACACACTAAACAGATTACAGTGAACTGAAACAACAACATGCATTCTGTGCCTATAGGATTATATATCTCCAGAATGGATTGCTAGGCTACCACAGCCATTCATGTTTCAGCCAGAGAGATGTCGGGTGAGCAGCACCTTATAAGAATTTAATGGACTATGATTGCAACTATAGCTGCTTTTCCACTATTGTGCCAAACCGTTCTAAGAACACTTCGGTACGGTTACGGTTGTTTTTCCACTGAGCCTGATTACAAACCGTTCTCGGCACGGAATTCTCGGCACGGTTAGACAACCGTGCTGAACTGTGCTGACAGATTCTGTGTGTTGACGTTGCGACTCGGTTGCTAAGCTACCACAGCTGGCTCAGCAGAAGCGCGCTAGTCATCAGACATCCTCAATAAACTACAGTACATTTAATATAAAATAATGATCCAGGTCTAAACGATATAGTTTGAAAAAGGTTTTAAAACCATAGAGCAGTCTCTGGCAGAAAAGTGAATAACTCATCACATTCTTACGAAGATATTTTATTCATTAAAGTTATTATTTTATTGACTTGAATACAGACCTACTTCGCCTGCCTGAATGTGAGTTTATTGCACGCAGTGCTGTATTTCACAGCACAAAACTCGCTCTGATCCGGGAGAGACATGCCAGCGACTTGCGCTGCTGACTTTTTTTTCCTGCTGCGCATCGAATAAAGCGAATAAAGTCACGCTTTGCATCGTCGATGTCCAAATTCCACAACAACATCACTATATCCATGGAACACGAACTTGCAGACTCTCTTAACAACGAGGAAATAATTGCACTTTTTAATTCAAAGCCAGAACAGCTTGTTAATACCGGCGAGACCACCGGAAGGACGGCGTGTTCGTGTTGTAATGTTGGCCGTCCAAAAGACTTTGCTTGAAAGCTTTACGGAGCGGCACTGTAACTGTCCAAGGTACTGTTGTATGATTTATATTACAGCATATGCACTAATAAACAAGTCAAAAGAATGAATGAATTAAATAAATATGGATTCTTAAATGTCAGTATTGCTTTTGTTTAAAAAAATATCAATACATTTTGACAAATGTTTTATAAAAATAAAATGAGTAATTTTCATCATTTCAGCTATAGGCAATTATGTGATTCAGTTATACATAAGTTATATGACATTTATGAGGCATGTAACATGTTTCTGTGTTTTTGTTTTTTTGTGGTGATCTTTAATATACGCAAATATTTTCTAAAACGTCTAGCAATAATTCGCTTACAGCTTGTTAGTAAATTATGAACAAAAATAATTATAATAATAAAAATAAAATGATCAAAATAAAAAGATAACAGAGCATCATTTTGCTAAATATAATAGTGCTTTATATGCTTTAAATCCTGCGATATATGTGTTGTTTCATATTCGTTTTTTTTTTCACTTGCTGCATTCTTTATTTAATGTTTGAATAGTAAAACAAATAACAGCCATCGCTTAATTGGTTTCATTTTACCATCAAAATGTAGTATATTTTATATCATTATCAACTTTTGATATAAAAACGCAGTGTAATTTAATTAATTGTTAAAAATGAAATAATTTATGTCCTGTGTTTTTATTAGTGAAAGTGCCCGCTCACCTTTGACAAGGCCTGTCCAAAATTATATTTCTGCCACTATAATGCAAATGCACTATTACTGTTGTCTTATCATTGTTTATTTTTTTGTTATGTTCAGAGATTTTAAATATTATTTATTTCCCCTCCAATTATTTTCAATCATCACGTTACATTTTGGTAATTTTCCCTCCAAATAAAATTTAGCCAGAGCTGCGCAACATATAAATAAATAAGGGTGCACATGTACCTATATTTAGCACCCCTATATGATAGAGTGGCATAACAGTGTTTAGTCACATGGTTGCTTTTGCTTTTATGAAAAAAAATAAATAAATAGTTTCGGCTCTTATTTAACTTTAATTGAACAAAGGGAGCCGTTTACATTGCGTTACCAAGGCAACTACTGATGCGTTTTGTGTAATTTTTTAAAGAGCTTTGTCCCAGCACAACAGTGGAAAATGAGACCGTATCCGTGCTGTCTGGCCCGGTTTGGCACGGAATGGAACAGTTCTGTTTAAAGAACGATTCAGCACGATAGTGGAAAAGCGGCTTATGATGCCAAATCAACTGTTGGAAGCTGTTTGGAACAGTGTGCAAGTATAGTGTGTCCACGTCATATTAGAGTGATATAAACACAAGTATTTTTTTTTTTAACTCCTGAGGTTAAATAGGATCCAACCCTGCTGAAAACACAGCTTAAACCAGCCTTAACTGGTTGACTGGTTTTAGCTGGTCAACCAGCCTGATTTTGGAGAAGTTTAGCTGGATATCTCCCAACCGGAGCAGTTAAGACCAGGCCGGAAATGACAAAACCCCTCCAAAACCAGCTCAAACCAGACAACCAACCTATGCTGGTTTAAGCTGTTTTTCAGCAATGGAATCACAGTGATACTGAGGTCCACGGCAACATGACAAATTAATGCAGTTTTCCCACTCACCAAATTAATTTTGCAGGCATGTATTAACATGTCTCCCTAGTAACGTATATAAACATGTTTACAGAACAGAATTTGCAAAGAAACTGGGATAAAAAAAATTCTGATCAAACTCTCTGTGATCAGCTGAAACTCAAAAATGAGTTTTACAAGTTTCAAACTTGTTAAAAACACAGCTTCTTTGTAATAAATTAATATTGCTGTAGAATTCATAACTGCTGGAATCACCACAGCCACATGGTGCAGTAAACGTGTGTTAAGGGGTAGAACTGGGATTGGGCCTTACACTACCATTAAGACATTTTACTAAATTATTTTCAACTTTTCTTCAAGACCTTAAATGTCCAAATAAATGTATGTAAAATGGGCATCTGATATTTCCAATACAAAGATGCTAAAAAGTATTCGCAAGTTAGTGGGAAATTGACTTTGTCTTTAAAATTTGAATACTGACTTGTAATGAAGTCTGTACTTTTTGAAAATTTCAGATCAAAAGAGAGGGAATTCACATTGAGAGGCAGCCATGGTGGTATTGAGCAGAATAAATCATTTAGTCTTACAGAGAATTCGGTATCGAGTTCTTCAGACAGGGCATTGTCAGCATTCATCAGGATCTCATCCACACCTTCAGAAACATCTTTTTCGGTCACTGATGTTTTCTCCATCAAACACAAAAACTAAAAATTACAAAATTACAAAGCAAATGGTCAAATAACCAGTTAATAAATACCCAGTAAAAATAGACATGACTGTCATGAGGTTTACATTAGCAAACATACCTTGCTAAAACTGGATGCCCAACCACTAAGAGCAAGGAGAGCCTCATCTGTAGCTTTTTGCACGGTTTTGATTCTCTGTTGTTTGTGTCTTTTCCACTCACAGAATTTTTCAAACGCGTACTCATCGATCTGCTCCGGCAGCATAACAGAGCTAAATACTGCTGTCAACGATGAAGCAACTTCCTGTAGATGCAGAAAATACAGTTTATGAAGAGCTGGTAGAAAAAAAAATCACTACATTCTTCATGCTGTTTTTATTTTGAATTATAGAGTTATTGAATTATTAGAGTTTTCACACTTTTATTAGATACTAGACAAGAAACTAAAGGGCAGAACAGTCCAGGATCTGAGATCATGGTAGTTAAGTTTAGGCTTGCACCCTTGTCCTTTACGCACTGAAATTTCTTTAGATTCCTTGAATCTTTTAACAAGATCTTTCTTTGAGGAACATTGTTTTTAAACATTACAATATATTTATCATGTATTTGTTGGCAAACTGGTGATCTTCTGCCCATCTTTGCTCCTAAAGAACTAGACCTTTCTTGGATGCGGCTTTTGTACCAAACCATAATTACAATCACCTGTTGATATCACCCGTTTCAAATCACATTATTATTTAATTAATCTAGACCAAAACTGCTCCTGTCCAAACAGTTTTCTTTGGAATGTGTTGCAGGTTTAAATGACAGTAAAGGATGTATATTTACAAATGAAATGACGCTGATTAAATAAAACATGAAATATTTTGTGTTCATACTGTCTGCAATAAATACAAATTAAAGTAAATTTACAAAAAATTACTACCTTCTGCTTTTATTTGCATTTTCAATACTGTTCCAACTATTTCTGATTTGGAGTTGAAATATTAAAATTATAATGTGCTAAAAACCAGTGTGTTTATGAATGTACATGTAGCTTGACCGTTAAATGCCATTTTTTATTTGTAGTCATTTATTCAAAGTAGCAAATGAATCAGAAATCTAACATAGTCTCAAAAAAGTGCTTACTTACAGATTGCAAAATGGTGAAAAAAGATACATATTTTTATAAATGCTTTTAGCAGGAAGAATACTTTTAATTGTCAGGAAGAATATGCTTTAAAATTATAGTTTATGCTTTCACTAGGGGACACTTAGTAGCAAAAATCTACCTTCACCTTCAAGTTAATGAACTACTATAAAACGTAAAAAATAGAAAAAGAAATAAAGAAATCAACAATACATACAGCCAAAACCAAAATAAAACATATAAAATAATAAATACAACTACAAATGAAAGGAAAACTAAATGTATATAAAAATAAATATTTTTAGTGTTTTTCATATGTTTGATGACGATTTGCAGAAATTATTGGACTGGGAGTAACTTCCATTAAACTTAACATGTGAAATGTTTTTAAAACTAGGTAGAATAAGTTGGAAATTATGCTCCTGAAATTTCATTCATCAGATATTACAAGGCAACTTATTATATTTATCAAAATAAGCAGACCAAACAAAGCAATCAACAAAACTCAAAACAAGTCTTTTATAAATATTGCAGATACTGCTGTTGGAAACACAAAGAGAAAGTAATTTGGAGAAACAAAACACAGTGAACTAAAAGAAAAAAACGTTGGTCACAGATACATTTGTGACACTAATTACATGACAAAAAAAGTATAACATTATTTTCATGATGAATATAAATAAAGAACAAAGACACACAGCTCCAACTCAGTTTTCACTGCTTATATGGATTAACTGTGGCACAACCTTGTTATTTGAACTGAATTGTTTTAGTTATTATAGACAAAATTTCTCCAAATTGATATTGCAACACATTGTTTGAACCGCAATATATATATATATATATATATATATATATATATATATATTGCAATTTCAATTTAGAGAAATTTTGTCTATAATAACTGAAACAATTCAGTTCAAATAACAAAGTTGTGGCACAGAAGTTGGATTTATATATATATATATATATATATATATATATATATATATATATAAAATATTTGTATCTGATTTCACTGCATACCTTCAGACGATTTGCCCGTTCACGGACAGGAAACTTATCTACCTCCTGCAGGAAGTCATCAACAGTTAGTAAAAGAGCACCACGAGCCTCATTCCTGCTGTTCACCAGTGGCTGTATTTCTGTAATCTGACATAACAAATACAATAATGATGTTACAAAAAGTGTCATCCCAACTGAAGATAAGTAAAACTATAATAAATGCTGCTAAGAGACTACTGATGAGTAATAAACAATCAGTATGTTTATATGGACAACAATACTCAGATTTTAATACAATTAATTTTAATAATTAAAATTTAAGTAAACCAATTTTTATTACCTTAATCTAGCTATTTTCATAATCCCAACAAACACAAAGCTAATTAGGAGGTGGGCAATTCCTATTTTATTGAAGTGCAAATACCTTAATTAAACTATTACCATAATGTAGGGCTTTTTGCCAAAATGTGCAAATAGAGACACACACAGGCAGTAATCAGTCGTTTGACTCCGTATTCCCCACAGCTACCATATACTGTACAAGACCATAACCATCTAGGCATGGGACCGTTTTCAAGGTATACCACAATTTGAAAAAGATTTTTTCGTTTTTTAGTACAACAGTATCTCCAACAGAAAAAAATATTCAAACATGCCATTTTTAAATTGTAAAGAAATCTGTGTTTTTAAAACTAATAAAGACAGCAGAAGTCAATGATTCATTTGAAGTATTTAGCCTGACATGTATACTGTTCCAAAATATGTAAAATGTTTCTCAAAATAAACTCAGTTGCATCACTTCGCTCCCATTTATCATTTTTCTCGCAGTGCATCATGGGATAGCCTAGTGTCCATCGAATGTGCAATTCAGAAGCTTACTGGACGTAGTATGTCATTCGGGTACTTCTTACATACTGTTTTTCGAATTCTATGAATTCGGACATACTACTCGGTTTGCATACTGTTTTTTTAACATACTATATAGCAGAGATCACCAAACTAGTTCCTGGAGGGCCGGTGTCCTGCAGATTTTAGCTCCAACCCTAATCAAACACACCTGAACAAGCTATTCAAGGTCTTACTAGGTATACTTGAAACACCCAGGCAGGTGTGTTGAGGCAAGTTGGAGCTAAAGCTTGCAGGTACTCTGGCCCTCCAGGACCAAGATTGGTGACCCCTGTTATATAGTATGGAAGTATGCGATTTCAGATGCAACCATTGTGTTGAAAGCTGAAAGAAGAAGTTGTTGTTGTTTTTATCCAGACATTTAAAAAGAATATATATTTTAGATCAGTAATCACAATACCGTAAAACCGTGATTTTTATATCCAAGGCTTTCATGCTGTTAAAAAAATTATACCGCCACATGTCTACAATCATCTGCATCCTCAAAGACACAGACGTCTCTTTCCCACCAGTCCTTACTTTGTACTTGCATTTAAGTTTGTCACAGAGGGGGGGTAGCTGAATGAAAATGCAGGATGCCTGTTGCTGGAGAATGTATAGTGTATATGTATATGTAGTTTGCACATATAGCATTATAATTAACTGCAGTTCAAGTTTTCAAAAATAAAAAATGAAATGGCTGAAATTACATACAGAACTATTACACACACAAACTGTTGATGCATAACACGCCAGAGAATACGTTAGATAGCATTGACTGGTGTCGTAATGACAAAACATTGATCAAATGTACTATAACATTTAAAACAGGAACATGAAAGGAACATTCTAAAAGCAACTCTCATTACGTAGTCATTCATTCATTCATACATTCATTTATTTATTTATTTTCCTTTGGCTTAGTCCCTTATTTATCAGTGGTAGCCATGGAGGAGTAAACCACCAACTATTCTGGCATATGTTTTACACTGCGGATGCCCTTCCAGCTGCAACCCAGTAATGTAAACACCCATACACTCTCACATTCGCACTTTTAATTTTATTTAGCCAATTCACTTATAATACATGTCTTTGGACTGAGCTCGAAACCGGAGCAAACCCACACAAACATGGGTAAAACATGCAAACTCAGAACTGTCAACTAGCTCAGCTGGCACTTGAACCAGTGACCTTCTTGCTGTGAGGCGACAGTACTAACCACTGAGCCACCATAAACATAATCAATGAATCTTAAAACAATATTTGACTCATACACTGCTTAATACTTCAATAATTTAAAAGAAAACTGACATTCATCTATGTAAACACTATTCATTCACGATAAGAAGAGTGTACAATAGTGTAGAACTCACGGTTTGACAGTGTTTCAGATTTTCCAAAGCTTGGTCATAAGCTTTCCATGCAAGTTCCAGCCTCTCTGAGCTCATGGGCATTGAAATCCTGTAGTTCTTGATGATGGTTATGGACTGTAATAGGTGTTCTTCATCAGTGGAGCATGGGTTCCTCTCCCTAAAATATTAAACCCATTTTACTGTAAATGGTATGTGCAGTTTTGAATCACCAAAACGTACATTTTTAAAGCACTGACAACTGTTTAATTAAATAACTGCATACTAAATATGATGTGGAGAGCCATATGATTTGCAGTATACAGCTAGAAAACTCAATTAGTGGTGAGAATGTCAGAGAATTTAGCAAACATTTGTACTGTACAGAAATTCTAATGGGATCTATGCACAGCTAGAGTTTTGAAGCAAAGATAAACTTTCGGTGAAAGCTTAATGTGACTTTTTAATTTCACAAGGTTGTTTTTACAGCATCGATGTTGTAATGTTATTACAATACATTCAGGTAAACAGACTTAAGCATTCATTTAGTTGTTCAAGCGTAAAGCGAGATGAAAGACCGTTATAACCATTAGGCAACAGGCTTGCGCAGAAATTCCATTGAAAATACTGGGGTAAAATAAACTGTCATGGTTGGCGGTTAATGCAGTGCTTCTTGTCTGATTTGACACCCATGTCATATTGTATATCTAACAGTGAAGATCACTGATTTTTAAAGAAATCAAATGACAATTTTGTAATGGAAGAAGAGTTCACCGGAAGCCTCTGGGCTGCCTGGCTGAAAATTAAAAGCCTGTGCGCTTATATCCTATTGAGAATAGTGCCAAGAATATTGCATTAAATATTATTTTATTGAGCCTGGTGACGTTTTATTTTAGATGTTTTAATGTTTTTTACTTTAAAGCTACAGAAGTTTAGGGTAATTGTGTGTATGTTGCTATGCAATTGTTTTAAGTTCTGTTTGGTAATCCGTAACAGCGATTTTACCGTCCTTATCCCCATAGCCGCATGTAAGTACAATTATAAAAGAAGACGCTTTAATCCCGTTTTGTGGATGTTAAACTAGGTTTATTTTCTAAAATAACATGTATCCATACAATAGTGTATTTTATTGTGTCTTGTTACATTTGCCGTGCAAAAACAGTGCAAAGTTAAATGCGCACGCTGTGTGAGCGTGCATACATGAAGTTTGTAACAACCTTGTGTGTGACTCATTGTAGAAAGGCTTGAATTAACTCTACAACAAATACATCAAAAAATCATTGTAAAAAGTTCGTATTGTAGTATTTCTCACAAACTTTACATGAGATCTGCTTCCTTCATGTCTGTAACTGTGCTGTTTATCTGACAGAAACGAAGACACACTAACAGGCACGTGGGAAAGGTGGGCGGGGAGAGCTAGCATTCAAGTCACAGGCAAAAAAACAGCTACAATGTGTTCAGAGCAGTAAATATCAAAATTCTGAAAGACTCATCTGAAATCTGGAAAAGGGGTTTTTGTGTCATTTTGCTGCAGTGAGCTTTGATAATGAAGCGAGATAGCGAAATCTGTAAACCTCTTCATTTTTATATGCAATCTGACTTTCACTTTCTCTGATCATCTTATGTTTTGCTCCCAGGGACCCAGGAGTCCTGTAACTTGCTCTATCTATCAGTTTATTTGTTGCTAAACAGATCAAATCACATTCCCTTAAATACTTGACTAATTAATTCCAAGCAGCTCATATTTTTCTGTTCAATTGTAAGGGCGTTCCAGCCTTTAAAACACCACTATATTATTTAAAATTTAATAAACAGTAAATATACTCATTAGATACATTTCATCTTTTAGATGTTGACAAGTCCAAATGGAAGAGCAGAATCATAAGCAAATAAAAAGTCTATATTAGTAAGCATATATTAAGGAACTAAAACAGAATAAAAAATAAATAAGATGCGTAATCTTACCTTAGTTTCCTCACAGCATCCACTTTTTTAGCCAACTGGGAAATTCTGTTTGCAACTGTTGTAGGATGATTATTTCCAATCTCTTTTGTCTTCTCATGACTTTCCTTCAGTGTCTGCAAATATGAACAAATGTAATAAGGTTAATCTGTGTCACCTAAAAATCACTGACCAATCAACCCCTTATTAAAAATAAATAAATAAATAAATAAAAAATAAAATGGGGCACCTGAAGCTCTAATTTGGCCTCCTTTAACTGCTGTCCAAGGAGCAATACATGCAGCTGGACAGCACTTCCTTCCTCTTTTAGCTTCTTGATCTCCTCCATATGCTTCTCATCTATCACCTCTCTCATGCTCTGTCAACAAAACACATTATTGGAGTAATACATCCGAGTTAAGAGTCTGCTGTCACAGATGTCACATGAAGCATCTGAAGTCTTTCTGATATGCCAAATAACGGTTCTTATCATTATCCATGTTTAAAATAATTTTTGCTTAATATTTTATTCATATCATGATCAATTTTAAGGGTTTATAGGAAATGTGTTAGTAATGCTATGAATTTTTAATGGACTTTTAAAAGAAAATCATACATTTCTTCTTTGTTTTTTATCCAACTGACTGTAAACTTCTGAACACTTGTTAAAAGTCTCCGTATTCCACATACCGTACATATGTTTGAAAACGGCTTTGCAAACGTGTGGTGGATTTTGACTTGGAAGTTACAAAAACTTGGGTATAAAAAAATAGCCCGCACGCCCAGTTGCTGAGAATTTAGTTCCTCCCAGAGCATTTTCCTGGTTGCATTCACATCATCTGAAGAGACAAGCAGTCAACAGAATGTCAACTAAGCTTTGAACCAAAATCTTCAAATGGAGGATGCCGTGATCAAAGCTATGTTTCCCTTGTGTGTTTTTTGTAGGCACAGGATGATAACCATTTTTAAGGTTTTAAGGTTATAAAACCGCCAAAATTTTCTGTTATACCGCTCCTATGGTATATGTGTTTTTTCAAGAATTCACACGTGGCTGATGATTGTTTATAAAGCTTGTTTGGCATGCTGTCCCGGGAGAGAGCCCTGAGCTCATAAGTTCCTCGAGCCTGGGGTTCCCTCCAGTTTGCAAGGCGAGAGGGGAGTTGCAGCTCAGGCAGATCTCGAGAACTCCCCTGCTGTTGTAGTTAATGAACAGATAGTGATTGCTCTTAAGACATTTACTAGGAGCATGTCTATGATGCCAATTTGGATTAGTCAATTAACTTAGGCTGCATGTTTTTTGACGGTGGGAGGAAACCGTAGAACCCGGGGGAAACCCACGTGAGCACGAAGAGAACATGTAAACTCTGCACAGAAATGTTGGCTGGCTTGCTAACCACTGAGCCACCGTGCCACCCATCTAGGAAAGGAGGAGAAGTAGGGGTGGAATGGGGGACTCTTCAAAATGAAGATGGCTGTCATATGGAACTTAGGTTACTTATAATGGCTTAGGAAACGTCTGATTGGTGAATCATAAATTGAATAATGCGGGGTTGGCTGCAAGCAATCATGAGTATGTGATCCTCTTGAAATTAGTTTATAAATAAACTTTACTTATTAGTTTTTTTTTTGTATTATAAAACAACAGTACGTCCAACAGAAAAGATTTTCAAAGATGCCATTTTAAATTGTACAGAAATCTGTGTTTTTGAAACTAATATAGACAGCAGAAGTCAATGACTAATTTTAATTGAGTCTGATATTATTGAGCCTGTTGTTTACAGTTTCAAAACATTTTAAATGTTTCTCAAAATAAAATATATTGGCTGCGTCAGAAATCACAAACTCAGTAGTTGGTGCATTTGAATTTGAATTTACTACTCGACCGTTAGAAAAGCACGTTCTATGCAGTTTGAATGTGAGTAGTATGAATGGAGTTCAGACGTGTATGTACTACAGTGGCCATTTTGTCATCATCACATGACATACCTGCAGTAGTTGCACCGCTTCACTCCCATTTATCAATTCTCTCTTGGTGCATCATGGGATAGCTTAGTGTCCATTAGATGCGCAGTTCAGTGTCTTGTATACTGTTTTTCGAATTCTATGAATTCGGACACACTACTCGGCTTGCATACTGTTTTTAGCGTAACCTTGGATATAAAAATCACGGTTTCACGGTATTGTGATTACTGCTCTAAAATATATTCTTTTTAAATGTCTGGGTAAAAACTAGAACTTCTTTCTGAACACAATGGTTGCAATTTTGCAATTTTGGATTATTAATCAATCTTACTGTTCAATGAACGCAAACTGCCGTAGTTTATTAAAGACGCAAACCCCTCACTGCACGACAGCTGCGCGCCTTTAGCAGGCCTCCTCATTCCGGCAGCAAGAGGGCTTTATGATTGTTTATGAGCGCCAAAACGGGACAAGCGTGCTTTGGCCCGGTTCGAGGCAACTGTACCTACTCAAGTGGTTCTAATTATGACATTCTGTTAAGCACAAAAAAAGATATTCTGAAGAATTCTGAGCCCAAGTGAACCGCGCTCAGGCCCACCTCTTTCAACCGGGCCAGGGCCGGCCAAGTGAACCGTGCCTGAGCCCAATTCAGCACACTCACACTTCTCAAACGATCCGGGAAACGGGCCTGGGCACGGTTCGGATAGCGTAGTGCGAGTAGGCCCTAAGAGTAAATGGTGTAGAAACATACTTGTTGGGTGTCATTACTTGAGACAACAATTACTTGAGACACCATTTTTCTCTTTTGGCCCAATTATCAGTGGCTGCAAATTAGATTTAAAAGAAGTAAAACAAAACCAAGTGGATTGCAACCACACCAATTTCGGATGGCAGCATATATAATTATTCATATGAACAACACTACCCAAGTAATCACACAGAGTTTGTTTTAATTTGACCAAACTTCACATTTTTACCATGTTCATTGTGCATGGTTTTATTAATGATTTAAGATTAAACAGCAAAGTGACTAAATGAAATGAAATGAAAAATATGTAAAAATTGGGTGCCAAATGTCTTTGAGTGTTCCTTTTTCCCCCCCAAAATTTAAAGACCAAAACGATAGAGGAGAACTACTAAAAGAGACCAGCTGATTTTTTATATACTTATACATGTAATAAATGTTCAGATAAAGCGAAATATCTAAGAGAATACCTGTAGTTCAGATTCAGTTTCATTGTGCACCTGCTCAGTATCCTGAGAGCACAACTGTTGTTCGTCTGCATCTGTCGTTGAAGACTTGATCTCAGTAAGAGGTTCCTGATCTATGTTTGGTTTCTCCACATGTTGGAGATCAATGGCAGATTTCTGCTCTCTAAGAAGTATACAAAAACACAGATTCAATACATATAACAAGTAATCTTAATGAAACTTAATGCCATGATTAACCCTATGACGCCTATTATCTCATTATCTACTAACTGTGAATTGCCAATTTTATTTTGAAACTTTTAATTATAATCATGTTTCAGTCATCACTGCATTGTGTTTTGAATGTATTTATTTGACAGTTACATAAAAAACAGTACATAGACCTTAAAAAGAAAACATGCTTTGTGCTAGGTTTTATCAAAGTTTTCCAACTGCAGTCTAAGGTAGATCTTAAAACATGCAATAAAAAATAATAAAATAAATTTAAAATAAATACACACAGCTATATAGAATATACAGTTTCACTCACATACACACTACACACAAACACAACATTTCATTAGTGTGTACAGATTTGTTTGGATAAGAGTCAACGCTAGGTCAGGTAAGATCTTATAGTTTGTACATGCAATTAATTCTGTTGGAAGTGTTTTGGAAGTGTCTTGTGGCTCTATAAGAGAAAGAAGGTCAGCCAAATGAGGTTTTAAGTTTGGGAATAATACACAACCCCTCTTGCCATCAAGCGTGTTGATCTAGATGTTTTCTCTGATGTAAGAGTTGTAAATGTCTTTTCTGGCAGCTAAAAACTACAGAGATTTATTCATTAATCTAATCATTGAATATATTAATATAAATATTTGATTTTAAGCTTTGAGGGTAGGGTCATCACAGTTACTTGAGATACTTGAGATAGTAATCAGTTACTTGAGATTATATATATATTTATGAAGGTATATACACTCTACCTACATATGTCTGTCCAAACAGCTTTAAAAGTAGATTTTTCACCATAGGTGCCCTTTAAGGTGCCCAATCCCAATTCAACCCCTTAGCCCCGAGGAGCGTCCCAATTCTCTTTAGCTTGAAGGCGTAGGGCTAAGGGGAAGGGCTAGATACCCCTAAAGCTGACATTTTTCAGGACCAAAGGGTAAGAAAATTTCCCAGAATACACCAGCTACAACAGCAGCATGGCTGCACACGGAAGTCAGGAGAAAATGCACATATCTAGGACTTTTTGTCATTATTAAGAATTTTTACGACAAACAAGAATATGTTTTAATACATTCATAACTGCGTTTGTGTTTTACCATCACGTTTTTTTTTTTTAAATGCTATAAAAATAAAAATATATAATCTCTAATAATAACTCCTGTGTAGTCTCCTACAACATTCTCGATGACACTTGAATACCCTGTCAGAAAAGTCTAGTGGCAGGGAATTACTTTTTTACAGTGTCTGCTATAATGTTAATGTTGTTATTGTGTGTTTACATAAATGAATATGGCCACGGTGTAAAAGCAGAATACAGATATGATCTTATTGACAAATTATATCGTTATGATAACATGATATTGTTGCCTTCAGTGATAAAATAATGCAACTGGAATAACTACAGCAGTTGCCATCATCTGATCTCATATGAAGCAAGAAATCATGATGACATATAATAAAGTGTGCAGGTGTTGTAGTGGTGTCCCAATTTTTAGAGGTAAATTTTGAAGCCCTTCCCCTTCACACTCTGTTTCAAGGGCCAAGGGGAAAGGTTACAAAAAAATTGGGATTGGGCCTAAATTATCCATAGCCTATTTGTTGAGTTTATGATGCAGATCCAGAACAGAGGCTATTAGCATCAGTGCTGGTTTGGCATCAACTCATATGTGTCAAACTGTGACCAGCAGTATTCTTATTTCATTTTGCTTCTTGGGCAAAATAGATCTGCAGGCACATGTGGTTGCAAGTGTTACCATCCCACGAGTTAACAAATATGTGTTGCACATTTAGGGGGCGATCACAGCAAACTCGCTTTGCGTTCCAAAAACGTGAGGTGCACCACACTGCATTTCTTTGTAGACTAGATAAAAAAAGAAACGCAGTGCTCTTTTTTATGTCACTAAGCAACGACTGAATCAGCTGCATATTGTGCATGAGTGTTGCTGTCGATGTTGTTATAACTGCAATTTTTAATAATAATGAGATATTCAAGATTTGTAAAGTGATTCAGCTCTATATAACTTGAAAAAGGCGACAGGCTAGTCTCTCCTCTATCTTTAAAAGTTCTCTGTAGTCATCTAGACAACACAAACACTGCTGTCACCTCATCGGTAATCCCGCCTCTGCTTTAATTTAAATGAAGAATGAAAAAGAAGCGGCTGACATAACGCACTTTTTCCTTTTAGGGTTGACTTTCTTTTCAACTGCGATGTCACAGCACTTAACGGCAAAAACGTGAGGCGCGTAGGGTGCATAACCAGCTTGAGGCCATTAGTAAACCATTCAAAAGACGTGCCTCTCAATGCAAAAAGCGCCCAAACTTTAAATAATTAAATATATATACAACTTTATATATATATATATATATATATATATATATAAATAATCTGTTAATCTGTTATTATGAGCATCCCTAATAAGAAGTAAATGTTGTCTGTGTGTCTCAAATCTCACCTAAAAAATTCTGGAGGCTTCTGAACTGAAAATATTGGCCGCAGTTTGGGCATGGATCCCAGTGTGGAGCCGAGTGTTTCCAGCTCCCCTGATGTGCTTCTGCTGGGCCACAGTCCAGTGTGCTCCTGCAGCTTTACTGAGGGAATCGAGTTCTCCTTGTTGCCTGGAAGACTGACTTTGGCAAGCTTAAATTTCAAAAGTTCCTCACCAATGTCAAGATTCCCTTGGAATGCTTCAACCAGGATGGTTCCATCAAAGCAAACAGATTTTTTATGGACACGCAGCTTTTTTCCATGAATCATATTATGAAGGAAAGATTTCCCCTAGTGAATGGCACAAGAGTTGTATGAGGGTCAAAGCAAAACATTTCAGTAGCCGCATTTCCACTATCACGCCTAAAGCAAGCGAGCCAGGGTGAGCCAAGGCCAGTCACGTTTCCACTGTCACTTCCTGTGCCTAAATGGGGCTTTCTTGTGGCCAGCGGCCAGTCTTTTTTGGCCCGCCGAATACCTTGGGACAAAGAGGGCCAGCAGGGGCTTTGGGGCGGAGTGATAGGCGAAGTGCGGACACAGTTTTCCAATCGCACAGGAGAACATGCGCCAAACAAATGAATAAATAAATAAGGGAAAGAAAATATCTAGCCTTATAGACTGGAGTCTTTTTGCTAATAATCGCCCTGATGTTCCCTTTTAAAAGTAAAGCTTTTGCATACAAAATAATCAATAAAATAATAAAGTAGTTTTAATTTAGAAGTGACATTCTTTGCTGTGTCCTCTTTGATGTTTCAATAACGCATAATAATCTTTACACCATATTAAAGACACAGTAGGCAGTAAAGGTTTTCGAGAGTTTTTGTCAAGTTTAAAAGCTGTGTTTGTGCACGTTTAGATGCCTGTATGTGAATGTGAGACAGGGCAAAGAGCGCTACCTTCACAGCTCTGTTGATGCCGCGAGCGGCTTTTTTCGTTTTGTTATTTATTTTGTAGATAATAAACAATATGAATAGAACAGAAAGACAGAAAACTTACATTTCGAGTCCACTTTTGTAGGCTTAAAACAATAGTGTTATATCTTGATAAAATAGCCTAAGCTATATTGAAATAATTTAAAGAATTACAAATAGGCCTATCAGATAATAAAATCGCATTAAATAAACAAACCAATATAAAACTAACAAAATCTATCAAAAGCTAACAATGTAGGTATATACAATGCATAAATTAAACCGTTTTAAAGCCATATTAAACTTTAATTTTAGAAAGGCCTATCTGAAAAAAAAGATTTTAGATAGTTTCTAAAAACAATAAACACCGGAGGAGGTTTGAAATATTATTTATTAAGTATTTGGATAGGATGATATCAATCAAATCATGCAAACAGAGCATTATTTGGGTGAGTGAAAGATGAAACTAGGCTACCTTTTTTTCTGTAGTCTAGGCTGTCTTTTTTTCTTAAACACATGAAGAGCTTTATTAATAGATAGCTGCTAAGCGCAACGAAATATAGGCTATATTTTATTACTTGCTCTTATGTGCTGAAACACTTAACACTTTCCTTTACTTAAGATATAATATGCAGCATCCCTAAATGAAGGGGAATCGCCTATTAAGTCCCATATAGCCTATAGGGAAAAATGAATGTTTCAGGTCTCTCTGGAGCTTTTGGGCTGAATGTTTGACAGTGTCTATCTAAATGAAGATGTTATAAAATACATTTTCTACCAAGTTATTAATGGAGAATTTTTGTGGTGTTATATTATGGGTGGTACACTCCCTGCCCTGGCATATTCAGCGAGTAAATGAATATGATGAATGAGAACACACAGGCATGTGCGTATAGACATATGTAATGCTGTACAGTAACGAGTTATTTGTTTGTTTTGGTTGTCTTCAATTTTAAATCGCTTCGGCATGATGCGACGGTGTGCTTTATCTGCCTGATTCCCGCTGAATTAGGAGGTTTGTGTGACGTTTGATTCAGGGGACGTTCTAGGGGCGGGGTTGGCATGACGCGCTGCGAGCTACCAGCCCGACAGGGGAAACGCGACATGATTTCGGCCTCACTGCTCAACCTCCCGGACGATTGGCCCAGCCCGGCCCGATAAAAGTCCTGGCTCGCACTGGCCCGATAGTGGAAATGTAGCTATTGTACACAAATATCAGTTGCATTTAAAAGTAAATTGTTAGGTGCACGGTCCATTTAGTAAAAGAGTTAGTTGTCAGTTACCTGTGGATGAAGTGCGGAATCCTGTTCGCTTGACGCATGAATTCCCCAGAACCTGTACTTTTTTGCAAGTCCTGCAGTTTGCAGTTCCTCTGGCAGTTCAACTAAATCAGATCGACTGACAATCTCCATATTTCCAAAGTCAATGTAGAGAATATAGAACTAGGCAGAATAAGACAAAAAAAACAAAAACAATTTTCAGTGTTTTAATCATGAAAAAACAGCTCTTCTCTTTTTTTATTATTTATAAAACTGTCATTCGTGGGATTTTGAAGTAACTTCATGCACTATAACCACTTCCTTACTTTCCTTTGGCTTATTCCCCTCTTTATCAGGGGTCGCCATGCAGAATGAACCACCAATTATTGCATATGTTTTGGCTGTGGATGCTGGGAAATACCCACACACTCTCTCATTCACAGACTACTGGCAACTTGGTTTATCCAATTTATCCAATGCATGACTGTGGGGGAAACCAATGTACCCAGAGGAAACAAAGGGACACAGGGAGAACATGCAAACTCCTGGGCTCCTGGTCCAGCTGGGACTAGGACAATAACAACCATCAATATACTTTATGTATATTAGTTTGTATAGTTAATTAGCATTTTTTGTTTTAAAAATTATTAATTTTTTTTATTTCATCAACCTGTTTCACACTTAGTATATTTACATGAACACCAAAAATCTGATTTTGAGACAATACTCTGATTATGAGTCTACCATGAAAACAGCGATTTTTGATTAATTTAATCCGAATAAGGTCATAAATGAACTAAACAGAAATCAAATTAAGACTTGTGGAGTATGCCAATTTTACTCGCATTATTGAAGTCTAGTACCGAAATGTTAACACCTTAAACAAACTATTACCTTCGTGTAGGTTTTTCACCTCATTTTGTGACAGCATACTCAATACACAGCTGTTTGACACTATTCCCTGCCCCTAGCGAGTAAGTAAGACCACAGACACAGCAGAGGTTGTGGTTGTGGAGGTTGTGGAGGTTTTTTCTCCTGTTTGGCATGCAAATTCAAACAACAGCAGGTCATAATCGCATCTAATAGGTAATTTGTCATGGAGGGCATGCATAAAATGTTCCTGAATTAAAGTGAAAGTGCCAAACTGCAGGTGAAAGACAACAAATTAAAAATAAAACATCCAACATTACATAAAAATCCAGAGGAAATGTTGATAGCGTGGTGACTCAATAGCCCCTTTCACACATACAGACCTTTCCAGAAAATTGCCGGCAATTTTCCTGAAAGGTTGTATGTGTGAACAGGTCCTTTTTGAAAATACCGGTAAATTCGTTCTGGCTATTTTCCGGAAAGAGAAGTTGTAACATTACCGGCAATTTGCCGGAATGCTGCGCTTTGTGAATGCAGAAGGAAGATTGCCGTAATAAGCGTGTGCACGTCTAGAACGTGCTGACGTGAGACGTCTGCTTTAGCCAATCACAACAGTCAGACGCATTTACGTCCGCGCGGTTTGTGAGAATAAAAACCTTTGAATATTTTTCCAGACACATTTAGCTGCTAGAAGTTAGTCAGATCACGTTTATATGTTCTTCTTTATGCCAACTGTGTAAATAATCATCGATGAGATGCTTATGTTTGTTTACCTTCAAGCTTCAGCCTGTGAGCGCCTGCACACGCACATATTATGAACATCTCGACATGCGAAAGTGATCCTTCGAAAGTTGTTCACAATATTGATCATCCACAGAGTTTTTAATTTAGTCAAATGTTTACAAATACAAGCGCAGCCGTTTAAAGCTCATTTGTGGTTAATGATGTCAGAATTTACCGGTATTTTGGAATGGATGTGTGAATGCTCTTTTCCGGAAAATTTCCGTAACGTCCTCGCCTGTGTGAACAGCGCTTTTTTGAATATACCGGTAAAGTCGTTCCGGAAATTTTCCAGATATTTACCGGTATCACTGTGTAAAAGGGGCTAAATAAATGGTCCAGAATGTAATTTTAAGGCTTGGTTGTGTTTATAAGATGCAAAGCAATGTGTGCTCAAGTTTCACTTGAAGGAAATCACGTTATTCTTTCATAAACCTTACTTTAATTATGTACAGCTACTTAGCTAACATGAAAACGACTGTCATATTTCCTAGTTCCTCAGAAAGACCCGCCCTCAGGTGACTCTGATTGGTCATCTATCATAATGTGCTCTGATTCGTGGATCAGCTCCACGTCACGCCCATACAAGCATGCGCTTTTGTGCTATGTAAACAGCCAGTCAACCTCATGCCTGCTCTCAAAAATAAAATCTGACAAGTGTCTTTAACAAGTGAAAATGGGGTGCGGCTCCTTTAAGAGAGATCGCCGTTGTGTCTGTGTGTGTCAACAGCCTGTAGACGCGTGTAACATGACAAGCGTATGTGTGCGGGACCAATTTTTCTTTTTCTTTTTCTCTGATGCTTAGATTAAGTTATTTTCTGTAATAGACAGTGACCCTGTTGACCGAAGAATAAAGCACAAGATGTGGGATGCGACCTGTGCGAGCCTTGTTTTTTTTCTGCTGCTACATGAGTTAGGCCAACTCTCCTGTATTTTTTTTTTAAACAATGCGTTACACAACGCCTTTCACATATATTCGGAATATGCATGTGTAAGTAATAAGAATCATTCACATATCTTTTGCGAGTTCATTATCTGAGATGTAGAACGCAGGAAAAGCTGCCTATACAAAAACACTGCACAGTTGCATAGGGTGTGTGTGCGTTTACAGTGGTTTGACTGATGAATTTAAATTTGTAGCTAAATCATTTGGGGTGCCAAGCAGCATTTCCCTTTGTTTACATATTTGCTACAGCATACTGTTAACGCTAGACACTGTACATGTCGTGATCAATTTTAACAAATAAAAATGGTGCAGCCGGGGCCCCACCCTGGAGCCAGGCTTGGGGTTGGGGCTCGTATGCGAGCGCCTGGTGGCTGGGTTTTTTCCCACGGAACCCGGCCGGGCTTAGCCAGAAGGAGCGACGTGGGACCATCCTCACGCAGGCCCACCACCTGCAGGGGGAGTGGTAAGGGGCCAGTGCATTGTGGAACGGGTGATGGTCGACCACTACAACCCGATCTTCAGGCACAGAAACTGGCTCTTGGGAGCTCTAACACCCGGAAGGAGCTCGGAGTAGAGTCGCTGCTCCTCCACATTGAGAGAAGTCAGCTGAGGTGGCTCGGGCAATTGTTTCGGATGCCTCCTGGACGCCTACCTAGGGAGGTGTTCCAGGCATGTCCCACCGGGAGGCGGCCTCGGAAGACCCAGGACACGCTGAAGGAACTATGTCTCTCGGCTGGCCTGGGAACACCTTGGGATCCCCCCGGAGGAGCAAGAGGAAGTGTCTAGGGTAGGGAAGTCTGGGGTTCTCTCCTAAGATTGCTGCCCCCACGACCCAGCCCCGGAAAAGAGGCAGAAGATGAAGGAATGAATGAATGAATGAAAAACATTTACAGGTTGTGAGTCCACAGCTTCTAGTTGTTGGAGCTGCACCTTTGAGAAGATTTTAACCGAATCCAGCACTGAACTGGGAGAGATTCCGGAAGCTGTTTTTTGTCAAATCGTGCTTGCTATGTAATTTATAATTCTTTAGAACAAAATTAATATTTAACTGTAAGCATTTCTGTCTTTGTGTCATGTCATTTACAGAAATACAGAAACAGAAGCTCTGTGGAAATAGCAGCGCTTGAACGGCATTTTAGATCTCTCAGCTGTAACACTATAGTGCATCTGGCCACGCCCCTTAGCTGCGCAGTGTGTGGGCTCGGTAAAAGAACGTTTGTGATCTCACAGGCCCGGAAGTATTTTTTTTTGTAAAATTTATTTATTGTAAACTTTGCTAAACTAACTCTTTAAAAACCAAGGTCTCCCTTTGCATTGAACTTTGAGCTTTTTACATTCAGAGATGCTGTTTATGTTCACACAGCTACATTACACATCAACTAAAGTTTAAAATATGATATCTTAGTGGACCACCCCTTTAATCATATTATTGTCTTATTCAAATTAAGGCAAATAATTAGATTCCTGATTTCCATGTAAATGTAGTTACTGAGTGTATTCACAATGCATCATCAACTCGGTCACATTAGAGGGACAAGACATACAGTCCATGCCACTTAACTGAACACAAATTGCATATTTTGCAGATTACTGTTTTCGAAAAATTATGAATTATTGTCATGTCAGGCTGTACTAATCGGTCAGTGTGGCGGAAAAAACTGTTACAGTACTACAGACTGCCAAAAGTTTAAAAAAGAAAATCAAGCAAAACGACATTTCATGTAAAAGAAATATAATTGTTGTCGAAAGTCAGAATTATTAACCCCCCTGAATTATTCTCACCCCCTTGTTTATTTTTTTCCCCCAATGTCTGTTTAACTGAGATAAGATTTTTTAGCACATTTCTAAACCTAAAAGTTAATAACTTATTTCTAATAACTGATTTATTTTATCTTCGCCATGATGACAGTAAATAATATTTCATTAGATATTTTTGAGACACTTCTATACAACTCAAATTGACATTTGAAGGCAGAACAAGTTTATTTATGTTGATTAGGCAGGTTAGGGTAATTAGGCAAGCCACTGTATAACGATGGTTTGTTCTGTAGACTATTGAAAAAAAATATACAACCTAAAGAGGCTAATCATTTTGACCTTAAAATGTTTTTAAAAAATTAAAAACTGCTTTTATTCTAGCCAAAACAAAACAAATATGACTTTCCCCCAGAAGTAAAAATATTATCAGACATGTTGTGAAAATTTGCTTGCTCTGCTAAACATAATTTAGAAAATATTTTAAAAAGAAAAAAAAATCTAAACATTCATAAGATGTTTATGGCTGCCCACACTAAACCAGAATTGCCAGGAAAGGAATTTTGACAACATTTATGTTTCTTTTCCAGTGAAGTACATGAAATATAAGCCTAATATCTTAATAATGCTCATGCATATCTTTTACCACTTTTGTCAAAATATTGCACCCTTTACTGCTAACTAAGCCCTTCTATACATGATTTAGAAACTTCCACATGTTTTTAAATAGGCAGAACTACATATTGAGTAGAACAGTCACTGTGAAATCCATTCTGCTGTTTACATCCGAGTATCATCGTTAAGGCGATGCATACAGCCAAATTAAAGCTGCTTTGCGCTTGCTCAAAATTCAGTTCAAAGACAAAATGCCATTTAAAAGCTAGGCTAAATTATGCTTGATCTTTCCATAGCCCTAGATTCACAAGATACAGTAGTGACTGCTGTGTAAATGCATTTTTTTGCTATCTCTGAAGACATTAAAATGCCACTTCAGATGCACTGCCTTCTTACTGCCACCTTTGCAGTGACTTTACTCTTTGAAGCTGCTGGACTGATTGGTCTCCATCCCTAAAGCCCACTCACTCTCGACCATTACTTTTGTGGAATATAATAATTTAAATCTGCACAATGGCTTTTTATTTATTTATTTATTTTATACAAACCTTGTCTTCTGTTTGCTGTTGCACTGTACACCTGTACCAACACTTGTCCTCTGAAAATCTTGCGGCATATACCTAAACAGGAAATTATGCAAATATTCAGATCTAAACTTGCCGAACTTAAATGTTTGAGCAAATAAAACTTGCCTTGTGTGAACTCGGCCTTCCCATCAGTATAGGGGCAGTGGGACACTTTTCTGTCAGCATTGCATTTATTTTTTCATTTATTTTGTCTGTCACATTCTGATGAAATAAAAAAAACATTTCAAGTTATAACTAGGATTGTTGTTTAATTTGATCAATTCAACTTGACATAAGAGGGTAAAACATCTAACCTGAGCCCAAAACGTGATGGCATCCACAACATAAGTAACAACCACCAGTTCCACTGTTTACAAACGATAAACAATCATTCAAAGTTCATAAACAAAACATCTACAAGCAAAGTTCATAAACAAAACATCAAAACAGAAACAATCACGAAGTAGAAAACTTGCAACTTACTTTTTTCAGACTGAATTTCCGACTGATCCATCAAACTTGGCTAAAATCGAAAACGTGTCAGTCAGCCACGTTATTTTTAGTTGTCCATGTGTCTCTAATGTGCTCAGTTGTTCGTCTTACCAATATGTATCGGCCTGCTGCTGCAAATTCCGTTGTTAATCTACATGTAATTTTTTAAATATCTCCTGAACATGGCGTATAGAAAAACGTATTTAGTTGTCTCGGAAACGTCAGTTTTCACCCTTTAGCGTATCGTGTAACGTTAATAATACAAATTTAGCAACAGGCAAATATAATACGAGCTAAACGATAACCAATAACGCGGACCATTATTACTAAATAAATTGTCCTGTTTGTGACGATTGGCATGTGAACAGTTCGATCTTTTAACTCGGTCCTTTGCAGTGAATCGTTTTAACCGGTCTGAATGAATCGATCACTGATCATGCTCGAGTCACGACAAACAGTTCAAAAAGACAAACGTGAGGCAAATCTGCATTACACTGGGACATGGAAATAAATACGCTTGATAAAAAATACTCTTATAAATATATGTGTCCAGAAAATGAGGCGCCGTGTAGGAGTTAATATATGCGCGTGTGTTAATGTGGGTGTGTACACATGGATGGAGTTTATATGTATGCGCGTGTGTTATTGTGGGTGTGCATGGATGGAGTTTATATGTAAGCGCGTGTGTTAATGTGGGTGTGTATGCATGGATGGAGTTTATATGTATGCGTGCATCAAGTTTATATGTATATGCACAAGTTTCTTATATGTTGTTAGTAGTATAGGTGTATATGCGAGTAATTTATTGGTGTATGCACGTGTTTATGTTTGTTTTGATAAGTAAAGTTTAATTTAAATCCTACATGGCGCCTCCAACTACCAGGCCTTTCCCACTCTCATCTTCCTTTGACTGATGAGCTGTTTTGGTGATGAAGAGAAAGATCTGGGTGATCACTTCAACATTTTGGGCATTTTATTTATGCGTTTGTTTTTACATATTTATTTCTACATTTATTTACTTCAAAATTTTTTATCCATGACCATAAAATGCAATTTTACAATCAAGCTGCTCACAGTCACTAAGCATCTACATATTTCTCATCAAAATTATGATTACCACTGGTGTAAAGTAACAAATTGCAAATCCTTAACCTACTGTAACTGAGTAGTTTTTCTCAGGAATTGTAATTTACTACGTTTTTTTTTTAAATGTGTACTTTTACTTTGCTTTGAGTACATTTTTATTGCAGCATTGGTACTTTTACTCCACTACTAAATTTCAATTTGCAGTCACTTTTTTTTCTTGTCTATGGGGATAAGAAAAATCAGCCTTGTGATTCCTGTCCAATCAAAGCGCACATGGTACTGTAAATCGCATCATAATGAATTACCTCAAGACATGGGTAATTTAGAATTGCAGCAAACTGTTTGGAAGCATTAAAAGTGTCCAAAAAGATGTGCAAAATCTTTATACTTGATGACCCAGAGACTGTTTAGATCAGGGGTGTCCAAAACATTGACGCTGCATGGACGTTATTACTATTACATTTATCAGATGTTCAGTTTTGGTTGCCATACCTAAGCAATAAATGTCAGCATTGGACATCAATTTGATGTTGGCCCGACGTTGAATTTTGGTCACTTTCCAATGCAACCTAAAGTCAACCAAATATCAACGTAATTTGACGTCATTATTGGACATCAAAGGTTGTCCTTAGACACTGGCTAGACACTGAATTTTGGTCGCCTGATATCACAACCTAAATCTAACCTAATCTTAAAGTAGCAGCAGCATGAAACTTTATAACTGTGACAAAGAAACACGTACTTCAATAATTCAGCCTGTACATTTAATAATGTTAAAGGGGGTTAATATGTATTAATTAGATTATAAACCTTACCATTTTGTCAGTGAGAGCTTTTGAATGGCTGAATTTAAATTTCTGTCATGTTTTGTCTGGTGCAAACAGCCAAATTGCTTATCACTGCAAATCTCATCATGTAGAGTGTTTTTAGGACACAGGGTTACAATGTAACCTGTTCATCTAATGTTAAAGGTCGTAATATTTATATTATTTGCTTATTGATAACCTCATGTGGAACTCTAAATCTCCATCTCATTTCGGAGTCTGCTACTGCCCACCAGAGGTCGCATTTTAGTCATGGACACATGCTTTGAGAACTATTCTGAATCAATAAAATACGTTGTTTTCCTTAAGCTGGCATTGGGAAGGATAAAAGAACCAAACAAAAACAAAACAAAAAAGCGTTCTGCCCCATGCAGTGCCATGCATTTCAGAATTCTAAACATAGGTTTCTATCAGCTTACACACATTGGTGCCGTAAATCGGCGGCTGTCCGCGGCACCCAGCCACGACTAAACACTGTTCATATTTCTGCCACGCCACAGAGCGCCATCTGAATAGTTTTATTTAAGATATCATGCAAATGTGCGCGTCTGGTGTGTGATACTTCCAACTGTCATGATCGTGTTGTGGCGCTGAGCAGCGCATCCGGTGTGCGACATGTTTAGAAGACTCAATAGATGCGTTCGACTTCATGCAGCGCTTAGCAGATCACCGCATAACAACAACCACGTGTGTTTCGGGTTTATTATTGAACAACTTTTGTCTCACAAACTTCCAAATAAACAATTTACTTTTTATACCATCTCTATCTTGTATATGTCATGCTTATTAAAACAATACAAGTATTTTACTACAGTTTTATCTTTTATTAAATAATTTGTTCATAATGACTAAATTGTTTGCATAGGTCTATCAAAATTTTTATACTGTATTCAGCGCCATGAACGATTTAAACGATATATTTTAGTGAACAACTTAAATATTAACTCAAATAAGTCTTACAGACTTGTAATAAAATAATTATTATCATTGATCCTCCCACCCTAAAGGTTTCAAAACAAATTAAAGAACTATTTTATTAAATAATTATAAAATTATTTCTGTGATTATACACACACACACACACACACACACACACACACACACACATATATATATATATATATATATATATACATACATACATACATGTCAAAAAGACATGTTCTGCCATATAAACAAATGCATATGATAATTTAGCCTCTTACAACATTAATATATATTGGAGAGTTTTATTTCTAAAAATGTTAATAAATGCAAACCCGTTTTAGCATATTCAAACAAGAAATATTATTCTAAGGAGTGATGTTTAAATTCCTCGAATTTGTGCTTTTTGTTTTGTATTTAATATGCCCTCTTTGTTTCCTCTTTCTCATGCGTTTGTTATATATTTAATTCATAATTCCCTTATTGTTTAAAAATGAACTATAGTTTGTTGAGACTGTATTCTTTTTTATTTGTACAGTAAATATTTTGTTGTTATACATTTTAAAAATGATGATGCCATGTGATCGGTCATGACTGCTCTACTTTGAGCCCCGAGGTGTCTGTCCAGCTTGACAGTTCCGTTTTCAACTCCGCCCCTGCCTGCGCTCGGCTAATCTCATTGAACACCGGCTGCAGCCGTGCTTCATGAACGCATCTAAAAACTAACATACAGCACCTTTCGCCCATTTCACACGGGCTTCAGCGTCAACGCTTCCCATTAGATACATTCAACATGAAGCACAGCGGCAGCCGGTGATCAACGAGATTAGCTGAGTGCAGGCGGGGCCGAGTTGAAAAACGGAGCCATCAAGCCAGACAGCTGGACACTTCGGGGCTCAAAGTTTCGGCAGTCATGATGACCTATCACATGGCGTCGTCATCATTTATGACAAAAAAAAAATTACAGTGAAATTACACAAATTACAGTACAAATAAAACAGGATACAGTCTCTAACTATTGTTCATTTTTAAACAATAATTATGAATTTTGAATAAGGGGAGCAGGAGGGTAATATAAACATAGAAATAAACAGGCCTATTAAATAGACAATAAGCACAAATTTTAGGAGTCTAAACATCACTCTTTTATGGAAGGACGTTTTGGCCTCAACGGCCTTCCATATTTGAAGAGCGCCTGCTGGAACTGAGATGACTACACCGGTATTATGGAAGGCCGTTGGGCCCAAAACGTCTGCAACAAACGCGTTTACACTGTAAAATATTTATTGTGATTTAAGTAAAATGACATTATACATTTTAAAATAAGCAGGTTGGAGAGAAGAATAAATGATAGCACTTTAAAAAAATGAAATAAAAAAAAAACAACGTTTTAACACGTACTAACGTGTTAAGGCGTAATTGCGTGTTAACGCGTAAATTACGTGTTAACATGTAATAACGTGTAAAGGCGTTTGTTGCCCCAACGGCCTTCCATATGATATTACACGATTGGCTGAGTATATCACATGACAACAACCACATGTGTTTCGGACTTATTGACCTTATTCTCAAATGCGGAAGTGCGCCTGTTTTCACGATTGTCTTAGAACTTCCGATTCAGTCGCCTATGGGAGAAATGACTAGGAATAATAAACGGCAAAAAACGGTCAAATAAACTTTCTCTACAATCAAATGTTTGCATGACTATACAGACAAAATAGAATAATATAATAAGAAAATATCAGTTAGCAGCATTAAGCAGCAGAACGAGCTGTTTTATTATCAAAAAATGAATGGAAGTGAGAGAGACTGGAAATCTCGTGCCAAAAAGATTCAAATGGCTGCGCCCGCTCGTCGGCGGAGAATAAGGTGAATAGAGTGGAGGATCTATGACGTCACCTTGTAGGCGAATCGGCTGATAGCATAAAACTTGTTCCTTGGTTTATTTGATTTACTGTTTTATTCTGATAATGAGAACTTGAACTGTAAAGGACAATATATTTTTAATTTGTATATGCTGTTAGGAAAATTCCATATACATAAGAAAAAGTGGGCTCAATGTAAACCAAACTTTACCCATTTTGTGAATGACTTTAATGTATATGTAAATCTTTTAGAACAATCACAAAACAAAAAAGCACTGAAAACATGTAATGCTCTGAAAACGTTCAATTTCATGTAAATGTTATTTTACTCTATTTTTTTATATACATATTTGTTTTTTCTCTTTCAGAAACTATGCGAAATGTAATACTTATCGTTCTTGTGACATTGAGTTAATAAAAAAATTAATTCCTATAGGATTTTCCCATTGGCTTTTCAAAGATTGCGAATAATAAGCTCTGTGTTCAAACACTGTTCATCACGCTTACACGTTTTGTCCAGTCGGATAATCCTCACACGATCTATATACAACTTTTAGCACTTTTGAATCTTAAATGCAAACGCAAGCACTGAAAGGCTATAAACGGACTAAAGTGCCTTCAAGGCGCGTGCCTGTGACATCAGCCCCACTCTGCAACAGACAACTTTTCTAGCTTATTTTTAGAAATATGATCCATGACAAAGAGTTAATCTCTCTGTTTATTATATTATGTAGCTGTTGTGTTTTATTTCGTAGAACAAAACGTAAAAGTACCTTGAGTTTGTGATAGCCACAGACCTTATTTAAGCGATTTTACTGAAACCCCATTCAAAAAACCCACTCACTTTAGTACGAGGGAACCGAAACTGCTAAAATGCAAACTCGCTTCCGGGTTTTCGCATACAAATTGACGTCATAGTTCCTCCACTCTATTATTGGACAACTTCCGTCTCACAAATTTCAAAACGAACAATTAATTTTCATACCCTCTCTATCTTGTACACATTAAAACACTACAAATATTTTACTGCAGTAATCGTGTTTTGATAAATAATCAGGTTATAAAGACTAGATTGTTTCCATGGGTTTATTTACAACCTTTTTAAACAGAATACTGCATTCAGCTCCATGAACTTAAATGATACATTTTAGTGAATAACCTAAATATTAACTTAAAAAATCTCACAGACTTGAAATAAAATAACTATCATCATTGATCCTGACACCCTAAAGCTTTCTTAACAAATTAAGTTAAAGAACATTTTTTTTATTCTAAAATGATTTATATGATTATAAAATATATACACCTTTTTAGCATATTCAAACAAGAAGTATTAGCCTAAAGAGTGATGTTTAAACTCCTAAAATTTGTGTATATTGCTTTGTATTTAATAGACCTACTCGTTTGTTTATATTGACTTTGTTTCCCCTTACTTCTCTCATGCGTTTGTTATACATTTAGTTCATAATTCCCTAATTGTTTAAAATGAACTATTTTGTTGAGACTGTATTCTGTTTTATCTGTACTGTAAATCTTTTGCTGTTATAAATAAATAAAAGAATGATGATGCAGTGTGATTGGTCATCATGACTGCCGCAACTTTGAGCCCTGAAGTGTCCGGCTGTCCGGCTTTACGGCTCCGTTTTCAACTCTGTATCCGGTTATATATATATATATATATATATATATATATATATATATATATATAGGGCTTTACATTAACACCCGCCAAATGCGGGTAGATTTTAGCAGAGATGGGTTAGACTAGCCACTTTGGCTGGTTGGAAATCATTTTTAAATTGTAGTTTTCTTAAAAGCAGGGTTCGACAATAAGAATGGCCCAATATTCGTGCAAATGTGTTCTTAGAATCGAGAGGCAGCTCGACTGACAAAAATAACTGTTCGCTCGAACAAAACAGCAAAAAAGAAGGTAAATACCGAACAAGAGAATGATCACTCGCGAGCAAATGTGAAGTGATGCGTGCGACTGTAAAAAGCATGCGGTGATGATGATGATCGTGCACCCAGTCCTGCTGCTTTCAAGAGCTCAAGATAAAAAAAAAAAAACGTGCATTTTCTTTTGTAAGCAGCAGCGGTCACTTCTTTTAATTATTCTTTGAACAGATTATTAAAAGGCCTGTATTACCCGTGTGCATGTGATCATCCTTTCATTATGACACACAATATGCTTTACCATGCTTTCTTTCGCTAACAGTTATTTTTGTTAATATGGTTTAATTATATTTTTTTACAGTAACATTGCTTTAATGGGAGATTACTCCCCGTTTATGTTAGTTAACTGGTGATCTGGGACTTTTAGCCAGGACAGATTACTGTGCATATTTTTAGATACATGACAATTAATCTTTTTTTAGATTTGTTTTTTTTAAGAAAAGCTAATTTTTTCATTAAAAAGTGTACCTACGTATGAAGCTATATTTTCCTTGTTTTGACACAAAACATTGTGGCTAAGAAATACTTATTTGGTGTGGTCAGAGATAAATTGAGTAAATCCTTAATTTTGAACCCTAAAAAGTCGTATGAAATAAAAACTGATTGCATTGCGACTACCTATTTGCTCATGCACACTGAGCAAGCTGATACATAATACACACAAGAAGTTAAATGAATGAGGACGCATGTTGTGGACATACCACAACATCTAAATCAAGTCATTTTCAAAGTCAAGCATGTCAAAGTCAAATTTATGCATATAAAATATATTTCCCAACAAAAAAAGTTTGGCTAGTGAAAATAGAGAGTGGCTAGTAATGTTGGAAATCTACTATATATTTTGTGTATGTATGTATTTGCTACAGCTATGCATGAATAGTCACTAGACAAATGTAGCCAAGGTGAGCACATCTTAATTTTCAGTCAAAATATGAAATTATGTATACATTATTGAAATTATTAATTTATTCATCAACAATTAAAGAAAAAATTAATGATTAAAAGAATGAATAATAGTAACCATGATAAACAAATACAAGTCAACAAGATACAAAACTAAGCTTTATTCAAACTTGTTCAAATAATCATGTATTTCAGACAAAACCCCATGTTCTGCTGCATCTCCACACAGTTGGGCCAGTTCTGCAGGACTTCACTTGTTTTTGCCAACACATCCCCCAGCTGTCCATGCCTGAGAAACTGATTCATACTTAAGATTAAGAGACCACACAAGCATCTGGTCAGATGAGGACACACAGGCAGGTGGAGGGATGCAGGGTATTGTCCACAGCACTACAGCATCTTTAACATCTCCATCATTTTTAGCACACAGCTGTTCTTCATAATTCTCACTGCACACATCAGCCTGAGGACATTTCAGATTATACAAAGCGCTAAATAAAGAAGTCATTTTAACAGCACACTGTCATTTGAGTTCTGAATTGGAAGTAATATGTAGCAGATAAGCACTTACGGTGTGATGGATACAATATTTCTGTGTATTAGTTTAAATGATAAGATACACAACAACAGGCCAGATCACCAGGTTCGCTACGGGAGGGCAAATTAAGCAAACACACAACACAAGAACTAGACAGACTAGGAGAATGACTTTTAACCAACAGAAAGTTTTATTTTTAAAAAGTTTTGATCGAATGAATCATGAAATGTAAAAACTACCAAATAACTAAATAAAATGTATAAACAAAAAAAAGCTTTTTCTCTTTGTTCCCCTTTAGAAAACCCCTTTTGTAGTTTTGCTGTGTTGATATATTTTGCATCTATGCACTGTACTAATTGTTTTTATGTATATTATTTATATTAAATTTTAACTTAAGTATTTAAATTTTGTTTACCTACAATGTATTTAAATCCTATTTATTAAGTATTTAGATTCTATGTTTATCTATTTATATTCCTCCTTGTGAATTTAAATGTGTATTCTTATTTGGTTAAATTTGTACCCAAAAAAAAAAAAAAAAAAAAAAAGTTAACAAGCAGGATGTAAAACAAAAAATGATAAATATTTAAAATAGGCACTATTCTTATAAATAAACTGCATAGTTGCAATCTAAACAACGACATTCTCAACTAAAAAGCCTCAAAAGTACATTATGCTGTCCAACAGCTGCAATATTTGTCAAAATTTAGTGAGTTTATTCATTTTCTGCCACTCTATGTGGGCGGAGTAGTAGAAAAGGGTGAAGAGGCTGTCCAAGTGCTGATACTGCTTTAATATATCTCACGGATATCAGCCAATCAGGTTCAAAAACCAGACAGAACTGTTGTATAAAATGTGAAAATGTGTTGTGAAATATATTGAAAAAAAAAACATTGGGCATACATGAAAACAACAATCTGATGTCATTTTATTTGAAAAGATTACTTTATTAAAACACCTACAAAAAAATAGACAACACAGGCAATAACACTGACTAACACAGGTGGAGACAGACAGACAGACAGACCAGATTAATTACAGACAAACAGCAATATTAATGAAGAAAATTATGTCCCATCAATTATTTACATTTTTTTTTAGTTATGAAACATGAAAAGCTGAGGACAGAACATGCCCAAATATATTTAGAAAATACAATAAAAGCTCAGAGCCTCAGTGTACCTAAAAACAAGCACAATCGGCATGGCATTAGAACCATGAGGGAATCACATTCTCCTGCGTTAATGACAGTAAAGGTTAATTGTGCTGCTTTCCAACTCCAAATTCTCAGTTTCATCTTAAATGAGATGCGTCACTTCGCCGGGTCTAAAAAAAAGTCCAGTCTGCAGTCGCCGAAAACAGCACTCAGTTTAAATACAATGCCATACTGAAGCTTTGATAGCCTTTTCTGCAAGTGTCCCACTGGTTTACATGGTAAATTCAGGACAAATGCTTAGAATATTTTTCACTTTACTCCTTTATAAACACTCTTACTGATATAAATGTACATTTCTGATGCCATTCTGTTTCATTCTCTCAATATACTTTCAAAACCCACACGTTTCAATTTCAGACAAATCTAGGCTCACAAAGAGTCCTTTCAAGTAGTGCATTGGTACAACCTTACAATACATCCCCATCCAAACAAAGTGTCTTTAAATTCCAAAAGTCCAGAACATACTGGTGCCATCAAGTTCAGGATCTGTGCTCAGGACAGTCCACGTAATGACAGGTCAGTTATACAAAATCTGCCAGAACTCAGAGTCGCACTTAAGGCCTGACCACAACAAGACTTTGCTATTATTACACTAGACTTCACAACAATGGATGATAGATTTAAAGATGATTCATTTACTCAGATTCAGAATTGTTTTTTTTAATGTGCCTGAATAAATCCAGGGGTGGCACGGTGGCTTAGTGGTTAGCACTGTCACCTTACTGCAAAAAGGTTGCTGGTTTGAGTCCTGGCTGGGTCAGATGGCATTTGTGTGTAGAGTTTGCATGTTCTCCCAGTGTTTGTGGGGGGTTTCCTCCAGGTGCTCTGGTTTTCCCCCACAGCCTAGAGATATATAATATAAGTGAATTGGATTAATTATAATTGGCCGTAGTGTATGTGTGTGAATGAGTGTATAGGTGTTTCCCAGCACTAGGTTGAGGTTGGAAGGGCATCTACTGCATAAAACATATGCCAGAATAGTTGGTGGTTCATTCCACCGTGGCGACCATTGATAATCAGGGACCAAGAGAAGGAAAATAAAAGAATGAATGAATGAATACACAATAGTAGGAGCTTTCAAACTAATTGTAATTAGGAGTTGAAGTAGAAACGTTTCTGATTTTGGTGTATGTGTAATGTGTATGTAATGTGATTGGTTAGCATCTGTGAGTGTCTCCATTGTTACGGTTTTGGTGTGGATTACAGTTCTTAGTAAATCTGAATAAAAACCTGATAGTTATCATCCTTGGTGTGAACAGGCCTTAAGAGAGTTCATGTGTGGTAAGACAGGGCATCATTCTCAATTCAACAACATTGTCATTTTAAACGGTGTAAAAAACAGTAAAATGATTTTGATGAAACGGTTAGTCACACTCAATGTGAATGTTTAGAGACCTGTAAGCATTTCTTAATGATGAATTACCCTCCACCACAGAAAAGACATGGAAAGCTAACCGACACATACCACGATTCTCTACATGAGCTCTAAAGCTAGCAAAGTTAGACTGAATTAACTGTTACTCGCTGTTATTACTTGATACGCAAGTAGAACATTTGTCCTTTAGTCTATTTTAATATGGATCCTCAATAATTGATTGAATGATGTCGGTAGAGACTACATGTACAGTTTGCAGAGCAGTGTTTTTTTCTGTGTTGTCCGTCTACAAAACCCTCCACCAGTTCCTATGAATACATTGGAGAAATATTCAGTGTTCAGGGAATGAAGAGACTGCTCTAATACAGGTTACAGGACCAGGATTTAAAGCAACATTTTATCCCCAAATCAATTTCCAGAATATTCCTGTTAGTGAGAATTCAACATGACTGCTCCTCAGGATGTAATCATCAGGAAGCATTTACAGAGAGCTTGCCTTCTCGGGTTCTTAAAGGGACAGTTTACCCAAAAAATATGAAAGAAAATTCTGTCATCACTATATTCATCACTATATTTTCATCCACCTAGCTTTTATACACAGAATTTTTATTATTGCATTAAAAAGCTTGATGGAAACACCAAGAAGCTTATTAATTTTGAAAATGCATAAAAAAAAACTTAATTAAGTTGCTTGATGTGACAGCATTATTGGACATACCAGAACCAACCACACTGCACAACACCTGAAATGTTGTTTTGGTCACTTTAAAAGGTAAAATCCATCATCTTTGGACTTTACCTCCTTTACGTTAGCTTTGTATTGTTACCTCCCAGAACTGGCTTGAAAGAAAAGTCTAGTCTCGCACCTCTAAGTGAAGTTTTACAAACTTATGTTGAGATCTATAATTGAACACGGCTAGTCTCACATCAGCAATCATTAATAAATCAATCAGACGAATTCATGCCCATTTTTCTTACCTCTCTTATAATCTTTTTGAAGAATCCCCTCATCTCCCCCCTTTTCCTCTCATAATAAGGTGATCTCAGACCCCCTTCTATGCTAAATGGCCAGGTGAGAGCCCTAAGCTCAAGTATCTCCGAGCTTAGGGTTCTCTCCAGGGACAGCATGCCAAACCTGTATTCACTATCAAGCATTAGGGAAGTGTGAACTCTTGAAAAGCTGATTATTACAATCCAATCTCAGAGAGACAAGTAATTTTTTTGATAAGAAAAAAGGTCCACAGTGGCTTCTACCGCAGCATAATCCATTTTTCTTTTGGATATTTGGCACTAGTTAATCAGGAAGTGGCGACTTTGTTCTCTTTGACTCATTGCATGGAAAATGCTTTATTTCGCAACTGTTTTATGCGATATTCCAAATTTTTCAATAGTTTTATTTGCAACTTTGGATGCAAACATGGAAACTTGTGAGTTTCATTCTTCCGTAACAATGTTGGAAAAAACGGCTAATGGCTTCTACAGTATTTTTTGCTCCTAAAAGTCAACAATACTATATATATATATATATATATGTGTGTGTGTTCTTCATTCATTTTCTTTTTGACCTAGTCCCCTTACTAATCTCTGTTTTTGGACTTGTAAGGGAAACTAGAGCAACCGGAAGAAACCCACACAAACACAGGGAGAACATGCAAACAACACAGAAATGCAAACTGACCCAGCCGGGGCTCGAACCAGTGACCTTCTTGCTGTGAGGGTGCGCCACCGTGCTGCCCATCATATGCATCTTCAGAATTTTATTGTTTATTCTATTATTCACTTATTTAAATGTTCTTCTGTCTTCTTGTTGATGTTGATTTTAGCATGTTCCCCTAAAAACCACAACAAAGTCCTTGTTTTTGCGCACACTTGGCGAATAAAGCTCATTCTGATTCTGAAAGACATTCTGAGATATTTTGTGTCTTGATTGATGATGCATCTGTTAAAGAGCAGTCAAATGCACTTGTAATTACATTAATCCAATTGTTATCCAAATAACAAAAAAGCCCTTTCTTAATGTTTGATCATTCAAGAATTCACTTCACTTGGATATTTGTCATGATGTGGAAAAAAAAGTAAAATTTTGTGCTGAAAAGATTTTCAAGATTAAAGTTTCAATAAGAAAAGAGCTACCCGGTCATCTCTGTGGTGAACTCTGGAAGATTTCTGAGCCTGATTAAGGGAGAAAATGTTGCTTGAAGAGTTCATGATTTCAGGATAAAGGGGTGAGAAGTGGGTCATTTAAGGGCACCGAACCTGCGGCTTAAACTCGCCCCGACCAACCGATCACCAAAATACACTAATTTACATAAGAGTGCTTAGCTGTGTCTGCTGAGAAACACACCACCAGTCTGTGCGTGGTCCACACAATCGTCCGTCCTCTCTGCCGTTCTCTAAACCATGTTCATGGCGTCTTCGGTGAGGAAGGAGTGAATGTAGGCAAAGGAAGGCCGTAGTTTACAGTCTCTGTTCCAGCAGCTCAGCATGAGCTCATACAAACCCTGCGGACACACGGCTGGGCGAGACAGATACACCTGATGAAGAGACAAACAGACAGATAGTGAGTTAGCTTCATGTAGTTTATGAGATCATGAAGTGTTTGGAAGCAGATGTACCTGTCTGCCCTGGTCTCTGAAAAACTCTCCTGCGTTGTCAATGACCTGTTCGTCGGTCATGTGACTGTACGGTTGCTCCTGACATACACTGAGCATCTCCCATAGCGTCACGCCGAATGCCCAAACGTCACTTGCTGTCGTGAACTTGCCCTACACACACACACACACACACACACACCAGCTGTATTATGCACACGATTAGGCAACTGTATGCTAGAACAATATATTATTTGAGCATTGATACTGCAATGTGTATATCTGCAAGTCACATCGCAGATTAGATTATTTATTAAAGAGTAAAAAATAAAAATACAATACAATAAAACAATTTTGCATTTGTATACATTAGTTAAAAAATAAGTGCTGAAAATGAAATCTATATCTTGATTACAGTAATAAATATATTTCACTATGTTTTATTTATGAGTTTGCATTCTCACCATGAGGATACACTCCCATGCCATCCAGCGAATGGGCAGCACTGCTCGTCCCTGTATCCTGTAGTAATCGCCAGCATAGAGGTTCCTGCTCATGCCAAAATCAGCTATCTTAATGTGTCTCTCTCCTCCACGCTCTTCACTCTCGCCCCGCTCTCCTCCAACCAGACAGTTCCTTGTCGCCAGATCTCGATGCACAAAGTTTAGAGACGCCAGAAACTTCATTCCTGATGCGATCTGACTCGCCATCGAGATCAATGCTGGGTAGCTGAAACAGAGAGAGAGAGATAAGATTCATGCTAGTGTGATTTGTATTTTTTATTTAAGTTGTTGTATAAACACACAGAAGGAGGAACAAACATTGGTTCATATTGTAGACATAAAGAAAGGACAAAAAGACTAAAAGCTACGACAAATCTAAACCCATATTTCAGTCACAAAACATACAACTAAAACTAAATATATACATTGTTATAAAAAAAACCAAATCAGAAAAAGTTGGGACAGTATGGAAAACGTAAATGAAAAAAGAATTTGGTGATTTTAAATTTACTTTGACTAGTATTTTCGTTGCAGACAATAACACAAAATGTTTTATGTTTTGTCTGATCAACTTCATTTAATTTGTAAATATACTTCCTTTTCTGTCAATCAGACCTACAACACATTCCAAAAAAAAGTTGGGACAAGAGCAACTTAGGGCTAGTAATCAGGTAAATTAGTTAAATGATGTGATTTGAAACAGCTGACGTCAACAGGTGGTTGGTCTAGTTCTTTTGGAGCAAAGATGTGCTGAGGATCGCCAGTTTGTCAACAAATATGTGAGAAAATTATTTAAATGTTTAAAAACAATGTTCCTTTAAGAAAGATAGGAAGGCATTTAAATGTTTCACCTTCAACAGTGCATAACATAATTAAAAGAGTGAAGGAATCTGGAGGATTCAGTGCATAAAGTACAAGGGCGCTAGCCTAAGCTGACTGAAGCTGTGACCTTCAATTCCTCAGGCAGCACTGCATTAAAGAATTATCATTCATCTATAATCAACATCAGGACTACTTTAGCAAACCTTTCTCAGCTACCACAATGCATAGTTACATCCAGAAATGCCAGTGAAAACTGTACTGTGCTAAAAGTTAATGGTGTCCAGAAGCGTTCTGCGCTCAGATGCATCTGGGATTGACCATTGCACAGTGGAAATGTGTACTGTGGTCAGATAAATCAGTATTTCAGGTATTCTTTGAGAGAAATGGATGCCATGTGCTCCGGACCAGACTGTTACCAGCAACAAGTCCAAAAACCAGGATCTGTCATGGTATGTGGTCGTATCAGTGCCCTAGACAAAGGTAACTTGCACTTCTGTGATGGCCCCATTAATGCTGAAAAGTACAAAGAGATTTTGGAGCACAATATGCTGGCTGCTTTTCCAGCGACGTTCATGCTAATTTCAACAAGACAATGCAAAACCACATTCAGCACACATTATGACATCCTGGCTGCAGAGGAAGAGGTTTTAGGAACTTGAGTGGCCTTTATAAAAAAAATAAATAAAATAACAGCCAATGGTGTTTTGTTTTTATTACAGCTCTTTTTTTTCTCTAAACAAAATGTATTATAAGTTGTTTATAAATGCTATAGTTTTACAAAGGCTACAATTTTGTACAATAATTCAATAGCTACTTTCATAGCCTTGAAAGCCTAATACTAACATCTGTATTAGCGGTATGGATGTAGTGTTGTGTGCACCTGATGGTTGGTGTGTTTTGTGACGGTCCGCTCTTGTCCAGCAGTACTCTGTGGGACAGGTACTGATTGAGGTCTCCGCTCTCCATGTACTCAGTGACCATACATAGTGGATCGCTGCTCACACACACACCCAGCAGACGGATGATGTTCGGGTCTTTCAGGCGAGATAAGATCTTCACCTCCTTTAGAAAATCATTCCTGTTGACACAAGAGCAAGAATGAGAAGGTAACACGAGAAGGGGAAAGGACATTTTGAGATTGTTACAATTTTGCAGTATACAAAAAATCTGATTATTTGGCACAATAATGTAATGCACCTATGCATTTAACAGCAACATTTTGACTTATTTTTTACAATATAAGAAAGATTTAATAAATCTGAATGCTTCAATTATAAATGACAAATTTACACAGAATTGTGTATCCCTGCAATGCATGTAAAATACCTTGATGTCAAATTAACATCAAATTAACAACATTTACTTTCAATGTTGATGTCAATTTGTGTTTTTTTTTTTTTTTTTAATTGTACAGATCTTTTTTGTTGACATTTTTAACAGCTAATTTTGTTTATTTTTATAGACAAAAACTAATTCTATTCACCTTTAGTCATAGTTAGGCCCAGACGGAATCTGCGAGCAAAGATCTGCAGATTTTAAGCCCATCATTAAGTCTAATTATTTACTTGTGTAAATGTTTGTAAATTTATATTCAGTTTCTTTAATTAATTTCAGTAATATTATCTAATATGAAAATGTTCATCAGATTTATTTACAATGCAGTTTGTAAAGTAATATTTTCTGCCTTTCAGTAGATATATTATATGAGAGCCTTGCTTTGTTTACCAAATAAGTGAATCTATTTGGATACTCCCAAAAGTCATAAACCAGAAGATTTGTTTTTACAAAATTCTGCACAGAAATTGCAAAAATGTCTGCAGATTCAGCACGACAAAACTAAGAAAACTTACAAAAATGTAATTTTAAATCTAAAAATAAAAAACTAATTTACATGCAACAGAAAATGAAATATATAATTAGAATAAAAGACTGGATTTTTATATATTAATATTTTTTTGGAAATATTAAATTCAATATATTTTATTTATTGCTTTAAAACAATGACAAAATCATACGACTACTTGTACAGTTACCTGGCATTTTTTGAGGCATCTGGCCTTAAAATCTTCACAGCCACCAGCAGAGGGCGTCCTTTCCTGACATTAAATGGGAACTCAAGGTTCGCAAGATCCTGGGGGTTTTCAATCTCACATAAATGAACCTAACAAGAAAGTCCACAATAAACAGCCTGGTACAAAGAGCTTAATATCATCATGCCCCTGCCTACTGCCACACATTAAAGTAGCAAACAATAATCTAATAACAAAGGAATGCAAATTTGTTTCCAAGCAATTCAAGTTGTACCTCCCCAAACTGCCCTTCTCCCAGCTTTTCTTTGAATACCAGTCGTTCCCTTGGTAACTCGGGCAGCGGTGGGCAATCAGTAGGCGTGGCTGAGAGGGCAGGGACTGCATATGTATTGTTTCCACTAACGCCCTGCAGACTGATGATGTCAGCTTCTGCATAATGAGGGACACTTGCCCCGCCCCCCGACGCCTCTCCATAATGAGCTCCTGACAGTCCTGGGGGCGGAGCTCCAGGGTAAGGAGGCGGTCCTTCCTGAATAGGCAGCCCTTTATCAACCATGTCAATAGCACATGCTAAGAGGGGAAAAAAGAAGGCAAACTTAAAAAAAAGAGAGCTAATTGGTTATAATACTTCATGAGTAATTATAAAGTCCATACATGCACTTAAACATTCACATTCACTGTAGGGGACACATCATGTACATGCATACTGGGATAAATGTATGACTGGAGTCAGAGCACAATATAAGAACATAACATTCTCCCACGAGCTCATTCAGCACCACACCCCTTACAAAACAATATCCTACCATTGTGTTTTATGGAGTAACTGTCTGGCCCTGATTTTAAGGTAGGTGCAAAAGCAACAGTGTTTTTAACTCAAGGAAATTTGGCATTCATTGACAGGACAACAAGGTTATTTAAACCTTACATTCTCAGAACATTTTAATAGACAACTGCTCAACAATGTTTGACAGTGGACATGCACTACTTATTTTAAATGTGTATATATATTATAAATAAAGTCAAAATGCATATAATTGATCAAAAGTGACATTGATGATGTTTATTATGTTATGAAAGTCTTTTATTTAAAGCTTTTATTCATGACTATTCTCTACAGATGCATTATAAGCTTCCACAATAATATAATATTTGTTTTGATCTCCCAATTCAGCTTATTAGATTAATTTCTAAATCTAAACGATCATGTGAAACTAAGAAACACTGTTATGATGTTATAAGTTGTGATGATGAAATGTCAGCTTTGAATCATAGGGAAAAAAATGCTTTTTAAAGGCAATAATGCAGATAGTTTACATTGTAATTTTACATCATTAGATAGTCACTGTTCTTTTAATTTTATTATCAAATAAATGAAGCCTTGAACACTTTTTAAAATTGTTTAAAAAAATAAAAAAATAAAAAAAATAAATAAAAAAATAAAAAAAAAGAGGAAACCTTTTTTTTGGGCAAAGGCTAATTTCATGCCACAATTTAATGTATTTTAAATATAGTTGAAGTCAGAATTATCATATTATTATATACGTAATATTGTATATTGTTATATACATATGATGGTTTGTTTTCTAGACTATCGAAAAAGAATAGCTTAAATGGGCAAATAATTTTAACCTTAAAATGTTTTTTTTTTTATTTCTATATTAAAAACTGCTTTTATTCTTGCGGAAATAAGACTTCTAGAAGAAGAAAAATATTATTGGTAATACTGTAAAAATTTTCTTGCTCTGTTAAACATCATTTGGGAAATATTAAAAATAAATAAATAAAGACTTCAACTGTATATTTAATCTAACAATATTTTCCCATGACAATAAAAGTGTGATGGAATTGGGTTGATTAGACATTAAAATAAAATAGTAATATCAATAATAATAATAAATAAATAAATAAATAAAATGGTTATAACATGTCATTTCATTTTCTTCACACATCACATAATTCATCTTACATTCTCAACTGACTCCTTGGTGAACAAGTACACTTATTTTTAATAAAACATTTTTGTGTGATTTGATGGCCATACGAGTAATGGTGTATTCCTAAGTGATTCTATTGGTCAGTTAAAGTTTTAGGTTTATTTTACAGTTATTTATTAACAAAAAGAACATCAATATTAGCAAAATAAACTTTGTAAATAGTTTTAATTGCGACAGAATATGAAAGTTAAAATCTGTATTTTTAATAAAAATCAACCCCTGAGACATGAAGTGTCTCCAAAACACTCTTAAAGTTTTAGTTCATCCCAAAATGAAAGTTGTCATGTTGTTCCAAACCCATAAGACATTTGTTCATTTCTGTACACAGACGAAGAATTTTTTTAATCATATTGGAGAGATTTCTGCAAATAACACGTTGATCCTTCAATACATCCATAAAGGGATCAAAAGATAAATGCCTTTGAATTGAGCGATGCACCACAAGTCTTCTGAAGAGACATTATCGCTTTATGAGATGAACAGATTTAACTCAGGTTTAATTGAATTTTAATATGGATTTATTTTTTGATCTCTTTTCAAAGTTTTGAAGCAGACGCAGTTTTGGCAAGCGGACTTTAAAAAGGAGGGACAGAAATCTCTCATTTGTGTTTTAAAGATGAATGAAAGTCTTCTGGGTGTGAAACAACATAAGTGTGAGTAAATGATGACAGGACTGTTTCGTTTTGTGGTGAACTAACATCCTCTGTGCTCTGCTGGGGCCATTATATATCACTCTAACCATTACCTTTGGGAGTTCAGCAGAACTAAACTGCTCTTTGGGGAGGACAAAACCCCATCAGCACCTTTCCTAAGGGCAACATGAACCCCCTCTCTCTTACCCTGGGACAGGTTTAGGGGCTTTTCTTGCTGGCTGTGGCAGTTTGTCAGCCTGTTGGGGCCATGTGTCAGGTCAGACAGGAGGAGATGATATGCTGGGTTGTTTAACAGCAGTGCTAGGGGGACACACACATACACACACACACAAATCCCACGGACACACAAGTCCACGTAGGGTACGACGGCGTGAGCGATCACCACATGACAAAAATGACACAAAACGGCACAACACGAGACGACACAACAACAAAAAACACAAACAACAGGGCCGTTAGGGGTTACAAGTGAGATGCACAAACACAGCAGGCAGTGTTATCATTGATAATGACGCAGGCTGTTAAATGTCTTTTCATTGGTCATTCATTTATGTTGATTAATAGATGAAAACAATCACACAGTGATTCCTAAATCATGTATTCATCATGAAAGCAGATATGGCAGATAAACAGGATCAATCGAGGAGGGGTGTAAAATACTTTTACTGTAGTCAAGTGTTATTTTTGGGGATTTGTTCTTTGCTTAGTTTAAATCACAATTATTTTCTACTTGTAGTTTTTACTCTTTACAAAGTTATTTAATCATAAAAAATGTTACATTTTATAAAATATAATCAAATGTGTGTGCTTAACATGAAACAATGATGTGTGTTTTTTAGACTGCAAAAAAAAATAATAATCAAAAGTCCATTTGAAATTTCTCTCTGGATTTTAAACCTCTGTATGCCTCTTTGATTAAGTTTTATGGAAAAGTTTGGGCACCCCCTGAAAATTTTCATAATTGCAAACCATAGCCTGCTGGCTGTTTAAACCAGCAAATTCATTTGGATATATTTTATACTCTCGGGATAAAGCAACATTTCAGTTCTGGCACAACATTTATTTAACTAACAGATTCAATGCAATTTCATGCAATGCCATAACAATAACAGACAGGTAAAAAACTGTGGGCACCCCAACAGAATAATGATATCGATCTTTTGTACAGCCACCTTTTGCTGAAATAACAGCCTGTAGACATCTCTTATAGTCAATGATAATCCTTGAAGTCTTGCTGAAGGCATTTTGGTCCATTCCTCCTTGCTAAATGTCTCCAGTTCAGTCAGGATTGATGGATGCCGAGCATGATCGGCCCTTTTCACATCAATCCATAGCCCCATCATTTTCAATGATGTTCAAGTCTGGGGACTGGAATGGCCATTCTAGAACATAGTATTGTGTCTGAGCATTAATTTCTTGGTAGATCTGGAACTGTGCTTTGGGTCATGGTCCTTCTGAAACATCCAACCCTGCCCTAACTTTTGCCTCTTGACTGATTCATGAACATTGTTCTTTAGAATCTGCTGATACTGGGTGGAATTCATGCAACCTTCAACTCTGACAAGGTTTCCAGTACTCGTGCTTGCCACACATCACTACAACATGATGGACCCCCACCATATTTTAAAGTAGGGAGCATTCTCCTGGAATACTGTATTCTTTTTCAGTCATTCAAAGCGTCATGGTCGACCAAGCAGAATGCGAAAAAAGTCTTCCTTTGCATCATCCTTCCATTGAGCTGTTCTTTGTGAAGAGTTTGCTGGATTGTGACACGATCTACAATTACATTATCAGCAGCAAGATGTTCCTGGAGCTCTTTAGTGGTCTGTGGATTGTCTGTGACCATTCTAACCTTTGCCTTTCAGATATTTTTTTTGGTCTAGCACATCTTTCCTTCACTCTTCACAATAACTGTTCCTGTGGCCTTCCATTTTCTTACTATATTTCTGATTGTGGAGATAGAAACTTTAAACCTTTGAGATAGGTTTTTTGTATTCTTCTCCTAATTCATCTTGATGAATTTTTATCCTACTTTTTAGGTCATTAGAAAGTTCTTTTGAAGTTCCCATGTAGCTATTTTCTGGTTCACAACAAGGAGAAGCACAACTAGCAATCAGCTGTCTTAAATATCCAGTTTCATGATTTGGTTGGTGTCACTCAAATCAATTTTGTGTTGTAATCAATCAGCATTAAGTGACTACAGGTTTTCAAAAGAAAGGGTGCCCAAACTTTTGCTTAGCCTATTTTTACAGTTTTAATTTAATTTCACACATCTTAATGCTACTACACAACAGATTTCTGTTTGAAAAACATGACATTATCTATTTAGAAAAAAGAATGGCATTTCACTGTGATTTTCTCTTATGAAGAAAGAGTACATAACACACAGAGGGGTGACCAAATTTTTGCATAAAACTGTAACCTTATGATATCTTTTTTACTTCACACTAGATAATTATTCAACAGGATTAAAATAATTCCTCTTACTTTTATTTTTGCTAGCAAACTGTGACTTTTTAGATAACTACATACAATTTGAAAGCTATGCATTTATTACTTTCAAGTATATTTCTGGCCAGATAGTTGTAATTATAGTTTTAATTGAGTAAAACTTTAACTCAGTACCTGTACTTCAATATGTGTGTATCATATCATCTGTATCATTTTAAGTACATTTTACACCCCTACATTAGAATACTGGTGGATTGTGAGTGAGCGAGTGAAATAAAATCTCCCTCCTCTCTCTGTCAGAAAAGACAGTGGCTCTTTGTGTCTGGACTGTGGATTGTCCTAAAGTACTTTTTCTCATGTTGTTTTGGCAGTACTGTTCATTCTCTGTGGTGACCTGGGTTTCAGTGCACTTACTGAGAGAGAGAGAGAGACATGTAAAAAAGTGCTGAGTGTGTGTATTCTGTGTGTGTCACCTGTGCTGTCCCGCTGATCTCTGGGCCGCAGTACGGTGCTAGGCTCCTGATATTCCCCCTCTCGGTCCCTGTCGTCAGGGAAGGTGTGTATGCGCTGGTAGCGGCTGGAGTATGTGTGTGTGTTGGTGTTGTTGATCACCACATTGTCCGATGGAACTGAAAGATGAACTCGCAGCTCGTCGCTGGAGAGGCTTCCTTGAGCCTGAATTTATATGAACAAAAATAAAAGAGCCATGAAATCACATTTAAAGATTTGTGGCATTCAGTTCTCATCCATTAGCCATAGTGAACTCCTAAATATTTTTAACGGGTTAATAAAAATGTAGATTTAAGAAAAGAAATCAAAAGGATCAATTACAAAATGAACTCCAAAAATGCTCCACTAGTGAAAACAGTTCAAAACAAAGACAAAGCAGAATCAAGCAGAGCAAAACTACAACATCAGTAGTATTTTCAGAATTTAACTGCGTTTATAAAACTGTTGACTAAATGGTCCAGTGACTTAAATAGATCATAAAGAGGTACTTGATTGAGTTTTTGAATGAATCCCCTGGATGAATAATCCTATAACTAATAATGACCTGTTTTCGATTAGTTTCTAAATGAGTCAGCACTTTGTAACGAATCAGTTGAATATAGTTATTGACTGCATTTAAAGTAATTTTATCTATGGTGAAAATGGGTATTAGAAAAGCGTAGTATGTCAAAGGGTGCTTTTAATTGGTTTGGACCAAGGGCAACAAATGACACTGTGGCATTTTTCTGCCATTTTCTGGGCCCTTTTCACATCACATTGATTGATTTGGTCTGAACCAGTTGAAAAGAACCAATATGCAGCCATGTGACAAACATCACTCAAATGCCAAATGTTATTCCTAAACTGCTTTTCGATGGGTCAGATTTAACATGTGGGAAAATACCAAATAGATACACAAAGTGTCGCTTTTTACTATGGAGGGACGACTGGTTGGACGCCTGAATGATTGTATACTATATAGTTTGTATACATCAATTTAGACAAACTATACATTTCGAGAATGAAGTACGGCTGCGGCTGGAAAACAATGTTTTAATGCATTGCAAATGGTGTAGGTGCATAGCAAGTCACTTCAGGGAGGCATGAATGAATTTTGCTTAACTGCGACATGGTCATCTTCTGGAACTATTACCAACGATTCATCAGGTAGTGTTTCTGTTTCTGTCTCTCTCTCTCTGTTTAAAATTGTTGATGAAGCGATGTCAACAATTATTTTTCCTCCACATTCCCTAATGTACAGCACATAGGACTACGGCAGCTGGATTAGTCCAAAAAGGTGCAGTAAGTTTTGCAGTTGGGTCTTTTCTTGTTCGGATCTTGTTCTTACCACAAACAAACCACTCCAGGGTTCTTCAAGGAGGACTTTGTACGCTTTGTTGGTCTGCTTTTGGTGCGCATTTGAGTGCGACTGCTACATTCACACCTGCCCAAACGAACTGTACCAAGAGGGAAAATGAACTCGAGCAATTCAACCGAACTAAATAAGGCAGGTGTGAAAAAAAAATCAAAGTATTCATAGAGCAACAGACTGAAAGTTTCCAGATAACTTTGTACTTCTGGAAAGAATTAAAAGAAAGACATTTTAAAACCACATGCAGCCACATAAGAGGATTTGCATATACTTGTCTATGGTAAGCCCACTATGTCACTGTTATTGCAAATTGTAGGTTACATAGAGATGATAATGGAATAATACAAAAAAAAATGCACTGTGGAACCAGCATTTGCATTTTCAAGCACCCTCCAAAAAACAAACAAAAAGTTTGTTTTTACACAGTACCGTTTAAGCTCTCCGTAAATAAATATGCGATTTAGACAAAGTCAATGACCTGTTCAAAATCATTAGTGGTCATGCTGGCTATTTCCACAAACAGTAAAAAGTCATAAAGCTACTGAATTACACACATCAATGCTCTTGGAACGTCACTGACCAGAATTGTTGCACTATAGGAGACATAAAAAAGGGAAATGGACCACATTTATATATAAGAAAAAAACACCTTGCCAAGAAGCTTCTTCCAGTATTGCCTCCATAGTATGACCACTATAACAGCCAATAGGAGCAGGATTATTCCAACCAGACAGCCAATCAGGATGGCCGTGTGGCTGCTGTCGTCTTTGGCCACAGGTATCCCCACCCTCAAAGTGATGCCAGACATCTCTGTTAACAGGAAACACGACAGTTTAATGATCACATGTGTCTTTTATTCAGACATTTAAATGATTACAAACAGCATAATCGAGGCATGTGAAAGCCCACAGAGTGTTTAGTGAGTAAAACCAAAGCTTATCTATCATTACAGCCACCTTCTAATCTCAGTGCAGGGTGCGGCAGTGATAAGTGAATGCCTTCATGGTCATTAATACACTTTCTGTGATTTGACTTGCTTTCTTGTACACCGTGTGTGTAGTAAATGTTGGTATGTTTAGATGGCAGCTGTTGTTTTGGGGGTCTGCAATAAGCTTTGACTGGAGTTAATGAGCTGTGAGAGTAGGCACAGTCCTAAAGCTCAGGAAACTAATTCAAAGAGGGACAAGAGCAAGGACATTTCATAATAAAGATTCCTTATGAGTTTGACTATATGAAACACGAAAACGGAAACAACAGTGCATTGTTTAGGTCAAGAAAAAAACATTCCATTAATCATGCAAAACAATGTCCAGGCTTCAAGATGGATACTCATGCAGACGCACAACAGGCAGTTATTTTCTCAAACACTTTGTGAGAGGGCAGGGTATTCAGATATTAAGACATTTTATGGGCATCTAGAATATTATAAAAGGTGTATGTGCTACAAAACATGCTGGTAATATTAGAGATCAAATTTACAAAAAGCATAGAGTCGATACTTTTTTCTTCCCCTTGTCCTGCTCTCTTTCTCTCTCACCTGTTGGCATGCTGCTGGGCAGCAGTGAAGAATTGGTCATGAGCAGGTCTGGAAAAATGAGGATGGACAGGTAAAAAATGGGGGAATTTAGAAAGCTGGTGAACTAGGGGCAAAGAGACATGAGAATGCTGAAAGGTGAGAAAAGACAGAGTGGGGTGATGGGGTGAAATAACGTTTTTAAGCCTGTAAAATGGCATTTCTTCAGTTCCTCAATGTAAAGGATTGAGAATCAAAGATAAAATGCATTTCCCACATATATAAACACATATGTTGATGTTGAATTTTTAGCCCTTCTGTAATTTTATTATTATTTTTTTTAAACATTTTTAACAGAGAACACATTGCTTATAACAAATTTATTTAGTCTTTTCCATGATGACAGTACATAATATTCTACTAGTTATTTTGCAAGATAATTTAAATACTTAAAAAGATTAAATAGCCAATCAAATAACAAATTAAAATAGTAATCAAAAGGTTTTATTTTTTTTCACATGACGCAATCTTCAGATGGAGGGCACGAAGTCCAGAACATAAATATTTATCTTTTATTTTTTTATAATTGTTTAAATAAGCCAAAATAAGAAATGCAGTACAGCTTTTATAAATTTCCAAAAGTTTTTGCACCAATAAAAAAAAAATCAGATACAAATACCACCACACTTATACAGCATCCAGGTGAATATAAATAACGTACCCTGCCATGTAATTGCTGCAATTAAATCTTTGTCTTGTTTTGCAATAATTCAAGTCTTGGCGTTTCGGCTGAATAAACAACTATAACGTGAACATCGAGATGCACAGCAGTGGTGAATGTTTGTTGATACTGTAGTAAGTTCATGAAGTTCATTGACTATTCAGTATAGTATTTTTCATGTAACATAACAGCTTACACAGTATCTATCCCCTCAATGACAGGCAAATATATTTGAGTTTAGTAAAAACTCTGTAGGGTTGTGACGATGAGGAAATTTTCCCACCAGTTAATCAACATGTGACAACATCGGTAATACAGGTATCACAGTGGGGGTGGGGGTTTCCTCTTTTCCTAATTTTTTATGTTTTAATAGCTTAGAAATGCGTGCGTGTAATACTTTCACTTTCAGTTTTGCAGGACTTGCCAACACGCGCTGCATAAGGGCACTATACACAACACACAGCATGCACAACACAAGATGACAAGTGCTGAACTCCTAATCTCCCTCAGAGATACTGGAGTTCAATAACGTGGTGAGCAGTATGACTATTGACCAACACCTACCTGTAAGTTTACACACTGCATAGACTAGGCTACAGCTCTAATGAATTGCATGTTTTAAATGACAGCGAGACATGCTACATTTAGTTTTTATTGTAAAATATACATTATAACCCAGTACACAGTTAAATAATATTTTTTAAATGGCTTGCCTATTGGTGGCGTATATAACCGTTAAGCTTAAATAGGCTAAGCATATTTTTATTAATATTAAAACACAATGCAAACTAGCCACCCTTTCAATTTTTTTTCGTTTCTGTATATTTTTTAATCAAACCAAAAATGCAATGAATTGTTTATTTTGGTTTTCATTTTATTATAATTTATATAATTATTAGGCCACACAACTTGTACAGAACATTGTCTCTGATTTCGTTTTTACAGATATCCTACTGATAGGCTTTTTGGCTCAAAGACATTTATGCCTGTTAATTTCTATGCTGTATTTTGATAGATTTTGCAAAGGCTTCATCTCTACCTGTCAGCTGGTACCAGCCTCAGTTTTGTGACTTGACTTGTGTGGTGCCTGTATCAATGTTTGGATGACAGCGAGAGAGAGAGATGAGATGGCTGCACATCACAGCTACTTTACTGCAATTTTTTAAAATATTGGCTCATCTAAATTAACTTTTATTTGATTAAAAGCCGAAATATTGCCAGACAGACGAAGACACTTTCGGTTTTTGAAGAGATTGGCTTTAGTGATAAAAGACCCACAAACACGCACACACGCACGCACACACACACACTTGATTTTTTTAAACATTAAACGCATAATAATCATGTCCAAAATCACGTGGTTGCCGCGATGGTGGCTTTGTTTCTCTGCAGTTGGCTTATTAAAGGCACGGCACTGCTAAATCACTAATTTTAATAAAAAATAAGATTATTTATTATTAAACATTGTGAGATGATGGTCGCATGATTTTTAAATTGAGAGTATGCTATGCTTTGCGTATTTATGACTATCGATCTTATCTACCCGCGACCCACTCATAGTTAAACATCAAGTAGGTGCATTGAGGTGCGTGTATAAATTAGTTGTGTTTCCTCTAGATGCTGCCACCTTTGTCAGGCCAAGTTTGCAGAATGCCTCATTAACGATTTCAGGTTCTCTTTTTGCGTTTTGTTTGAACCAAAAATATTGGCAAACAGGCGCTTTTGCAGTGCGTTTTGACACTAAATCGTCCGCCATTCTCTTTCTGTAAATTCACCTCCTCTCGTTCTTCTTACTTGATAAATGAAATATGACGCATTGTAGCTATGTTCAGATTATAATTATGGTGCATGCTTTTGTTTTAAGTAAATTATTTAGAATTATATATTCCACTTAATTCAAATAAATATTTAATAAAAAAAACGAATACTTAAAAAAAAAAAAACAAATGTGGGGACGGTGTCACGGTGGAAAAGTGATGTCACCGGTGTTTCATCTTTAAACCGGTAACATCGTCAACACCGTCTATCGTGGCCCTCTTTATGATATAAGGATCATGCCCAACATATGTGGCTATTTTGTTTTTATATCTCCTTTAAAATATGCTACAAAATCACAAAAATATGGATTTTACTCTTTCCTCCTATGTCTCCCATCCAGTTTTTTACTTCTTGCCCTCCATCTGAATTTCGCTTATCAACAGAAGCACGTGATTGAAAACAACCTATAGCAACAGAATAATAAATTTAAATAGCCAATATACCCCTTCTGTGCTGTTGATCAACAGTTAATTACACATTTTATTTACTCCCAACAGGGAAAACCACCAACAATCAAGAACGCATGATTATATGCTGTCATGGCTGTGCAATCAAACAACATTATAATGAAAGTCAATAGGGCAAAAGCAGCCCCGAACATAATGAATAGGTAATAAATTTTAACAGTACACAAGGGTTAAAAATACTGACCATTATAGCTTTTTAATTCCAGATAAACTAAAGAAATAAAACAAATAAAAAAATTTACTACTGTGAACAAAGTCCTTTCTCTGTTGAAGATCACTTAGGAAATATTTGAAAAAGAATGACAATTTTACAGGAGGGCTTATAACTTTATATATAAACTGAAATCACTTAACTTCCATAATTTAATTCCGATATTGTATAATGCAAATGTCACATGGCAGTGCATTGCAAACACTCATAATGCATTGGGGTTGATGTATAGCATGAGTGTGACTTACTGGTAGGGCTACTGGTTGCGTTGGCAGTAATGGGGCTGTAAGAAGTGGCATTGAGAGGACGAGAGCTGGAGGAAGGTATTGGAGGAAGGACAGATCCATCCTCAAATGGCACTGGAGACAACAGAAAAACAACAACAGGGAAATAAAGAATAAGATAAGCAGACTCTGCCTCTAATTGTTTAAACACAAAAATTGTATCTCTTTCTCAGCTACAACCCCATCAAATTAGGTCATAAAGACTCCCTTTTTCTCCAAACTGTTGTTGTTGCTAAAATATTCAGCTCAACTATGAATGCAAATCACATCAACATGACCTAGTTTACAACTGACTCTATAAGATGCATCTTATGCTAATATGATCACAAGTGGATGACACTAAATACAGGTGCAAAAAGGATCTAAAATGTTTTAAGCTTGACAACTTTTGATTATTTTAAGACGCCAAATCACATTAGACTCGACTGATTTTGCAAAAACACATGGCAACACTTTATTTTGATGGTCCACTTGAGTATTAGTTGACAGCCTGCTAAATATCTGTTGATACTGCTGCTTCAACAGACATTTAACTGACTATAAGAAACTTTACAAGTACATATCAACTTACACTAACCCCAACCGCAACTCCAACCTAACAGTCTGCTTATAATGTAATGAGAATTAAATGGCATGTAGATGCAATGAAACTTAAATTCAACAAACGGACCACTAAAATAAAGTGTGACCAAACACTTATTGGTCAAATGCATTTGAACAGGCACATTTACAACTGCCTACTGATCCAACATGTGACTTTCATTATTTTAACAAAGTTAGTGGTCACATGTAGAGTATGCCTATGATACTGAGTAACCAGGCAAGTGTCACTAAGTTGTCAGTATTTAATTACTTTAATATTTCCCAAACTTGAGCTCAATTTCATTAACATGCAGTTCAGAGAAAATGTTCAGAGGGAGGTCAACACTTTTAATGATGTGGGAATCACATTTTGCTTCACAGCAAAAACAATCTAACAATACAATTGACTCAACATCCTGCTGAAAAAAGGTTTTTCTGGTCTCAGCAAGTTATGCTGGATTCTCCGTGAAAAAAAATGTAATAATTTCTGACTGATCAAATCCCACATATAGGAAAATTTGCTTTGTGGCAAAAGATAATATTTAACATCTTGCTATCAAACACACATCTTCAACCAGCAAGTTGTTCTACAGGATCTACAGTAAAAGAGTTAAGCGACTAGCAACTTAACAAGCTAAACAACCATAGCACGGTTGCTGCTAGATCAGATATAATTGTGGCCGGAAGTTAACAAAAATGATTCATATTATTTATAAAATTTCCAAGTAATTGTATTTTATAACGTCTCCCCCCCAACCCTAAACCCAACCGTCACAGTAATGTATCAACAGCGGTTGTACTGAGTATTATGTTATCTATTAAGTTACCGAGTAAATAGATTTTTTTTGTCTACCCCTATTCTAACCCTCACACAGTACTGTACAGTCACAGTACTGTAAAAATATTAATTATTGTTATACGGTGTCATAAAAAATACTGCTAAATTGATTTGTATATTGCACTTCAGGCTGGCCAGGTATCCTATTTAGACTTTACCCCATAACACTAGCTTGATAACAATGGGAAACCAACTAAATCAAGTTAGAAACCACATTAGGCTGGTTTTAAAGCCCTGAAAAATGTAATTAGCTCTAAAATGCAATCACATCTATCCACAGTCAAAAATATAATAAGTAAAATGCATAATGGAATAACTTTCTACAAAAGGATTTTTACTACTTTAAAGGCATCCATTTAATCACTCTCATGTTGCAGGAGTGTATTTATGCCAATAGACCAAAAGATCATTGTACGCGTCTAAATTTGCGATTAAAAAATCATTACAATATAAAGTAAAGATTAAGCTCCATGAAGATATTTTGTAAATATTTGAGAATTTATCTTTTGATTATTAATATGATTTTTATTTCTGTATATTAGGATTTTCATATAATCCTATTACATGGGTGTTTATTAAATATGACCCTGGGCCACAAACCGATTACAAGTGCAGTTTTAAATATTGAGATTCATGCATCAAACGAAATAAAAGCTAAATAAATAATCTTTCCATTGATGTATAATTTAATTGGATATGACGATATTTGACAGAGTCAACTATTTGAAAATCTGAGGGTCTAATAATGATGTATAACAAACTCTTACTATTAGACCCAATCAAACACCCGAAGGCTTAATAGAGGAAATGACTATTTACATTGGTAATGAGCTGGTGCAGACTGCTGCGAAAGGTCAGGTGTGTGTGTGTTCATACTTGAGTAGAAGCTTATCTCGCTAATAAGGAGCCAGTTGTCAGCGAAAGCGAAGTGGCAGCGGAGAATCTGAGCCGGTCGTCCTCCAAGCGGCAGCGAAATCGTGCGGGATGACAGGTCATGTAGATCAGACACTTGAAGGCTCAGCTCAGGCTCTGCCCATGGGCTCAACAGACTGGCCTTAAACTTACACACCACCTCGCTGAACACCCGCACACCCTGAGTGTGTCTGTTATTACTGTGCACCTGAAACAGAGCCATTCAACAACAATCTGCCATCAGACCATCTGCTGAGAACAAAAACAAAAGAACAAAAAGAGCATCTGGGAGAAATAATCAAAAGTTATTACTGCGAAAATGGGAGGGGAGAGGAGGAAAAGAAAAGAAACAGGGAGAGGATGAAAGGTGGAGGGCAAGAACATATATAATGTGACAGTTTAGACATTAATGGTGCTGTTAGGTCAACGTCTAACTGAGCACATGTGTGCAAACACTCACTGACTCATGAAACATGCTCCAAAACAAACCGCTATAACAGCCACAGAGGTTAAAGCGCAGTCGAAGCTATCATTGTGACACCTCATAAGTCTAATACACACACTCACACAGGCTATTTTGCTTTACTTTAATCCTTTTGCATTAGAATTGCATGTTTTATTCAATTTGTTACTTGACATTTCGCTCAATTTAAATCAACTACAAATTGACTTTTCGCAATTACAAGTGAAAATTGTTTTCAAGTAAATCCTAGCCCAAGTTTGTTTTTGAAGTCATTGTAGGAAGTTAATTTGGTTTGAAGCTGAACAGCAGCTCTTTTACTCATGTTGTTACAAACCTGTTTGACTTTCTTTCTTTTGTAAAACAGAAAAGAGATGATTTTTTCAAAAAAAATGTAATTTCCAAACATTTCTATATAGGCCAAACAGTTATTGTGTGTTATGACGAAAAATGAACATCATACAGGCAAGAAATAACAAGATGAGTAAACAATGATTTTAGGTGAACTGAAATCATCAACAATTAAAACAGGCAGGCAAAACGAATAAAAGTACACCTTGACAACTGGCTCAGAAAACTGAAACGATTACTATAAAAAAGGCCTATTATGACTTGTTAGTCAATTGCTGGGATATTATTTGTATCTAAAGCAATCACATTAGGAAATGTTTTAGTTAATTCACTTTTACAACAACCAGTCAAACACAACTTCAAAGTGTTTCTACATTCTATTTAAAAGATCTGAGTGTTAAAACACTCTCTAAACTACACATTCTACACAGTATGAGACTTCACATTCCTCATACATGTACATTCTCTTTTCCTCATGGTTCCTGTTCTCTGTTTTTATCTTTTTTTCCAGCCAATCTTTACTATCTTTGAAAAACTTCAACAACAATGTATTAAAAACTGAAAGATTTTTATTTTGCCTTTTTATTTCTATTATAGAAAACAACACAGAGTACGTTTACCAAGAACCTTTTTTTCAATGTGATTAAAACAATACTCTGATTAAGAGTCTACCATGTAAACAGCATCATTTTTGATTAATTAAGTCTGATTAAGGACCTAATCGAACTAAACATAAATCGAATTAAGACATGGAGTACGCTGATTTTAGTCACATTATTGAAGTGCAAAACAACCTTAAACTATTACCGTCGTGTAGGATTTTTTGCCGAATTTTGCGACAGGGAAGTTTATACACACAATGCTGTTTGACTATTACAGATAACAGAAAACATACAAAAGTGATGGCTGCTTTCTAGACTTCCGGCTAAATGTTATAGTCAGCTGAAGGCTTAACTGACCAGTCCTTTCTGCAGATCCAGTGTAATCTCTTGGCAGAGAGTCAGCCTGCTTCTCCAAACACCATGGAAAAAAAATTTATTGAACCACATTTATTTGTAGAAATTGTGAATTTTATATTTTAGTAAACCACAAACAACATAAATATTAGGGCTGCACAATATATGGTTTAAGCATCGATATCGCAATGTGTTGCGTCTGTAATAGTTACAACACAACATCCAGTGCATCCGGAAAGTATTCATAGCGCCTCAATTTTTCCCCATTTTCTTATGTTACAGCCTTATTCCAAAATGAATTAAATTTAATTATTTCCTCAACTTTCTACACAAAACACCCCATAATGACAATGTGAAAAAAAGATTTTTTTGAAATTATTGCAAATTTAAAAAAAAAAAAAAAAAAGAAAGAAAAAAAAAAAGAAAAATCCCATGTAGTATTCACAGCCTTTGCTCAATACATTGTTTATGCACATTGGTAGCAATTACAGCCTTAAATCTTTATGAATATGATGCTACAAGCTTGGCACACCTGTCTTTGAGATATTTTGCCCATTGCTGTACCTCTTAAGCTCTATCAGGTTGAATGGGAAGCGACAGCATACAGCCAATTTCAGATCTCTTCAGAGAGGTTTAATAGGATTAAAGGTCTGGGCTCTGGCTAGGCCACTCAAGGACATTCACAGAGTTGTTGTGAAGCCACTCTATTGATATCTAGGCAGTGTGCTTTGGGTCATTGTCCTGCTAAAGATAAACTGTCGCCCCAGTCTAAGGTCAAGAGCACTCTGAAGCAGGTTTAATTCAGGATGTCTCTGTACATTGCTGCATTCATCTTTCCCTCTATCCTGACTAGTCCTCCAGTTCCTGCAGCTGTTTTAGTCTCATCAGACCAGAGATTTAGTTTCTTATGGTCTGAGAGTCCTTCAGATGCCTTTTGAAAAATTCCAGGCGAGGAGTGGCTCTTGCCAATCTATCATGTACTGTAGGACTGATTGGTGGATTGCTGCACAGATGGTTTTCATTCTCTAAGGTTCTCCTCTCTCCCTGGAGCTCAGACAGAGTGACCATCGGGTTATTGATCACCTACCTGACTAAGGCCCTTCTCCACCGATCACTCAGATTAGATGGCCGGCCAGCTCCTGGTGTCCTGGTGGTTCCAAACAACCTCCACTAACGAATGATGGAGGCCACTGTGCTCATTAGAACTTTCAGTGCAGCAGAAATTTTTCTGTAACCTTCCCCAGCCTTGTGCCTCGAGACAGTTGTGTCTCGAAGGTCTACAGACAATACCTTTGTCTTTATGCTTAGTTTGTCCTTTGACATGCACTGTCAACCCTGGGACCTTATATAGACCGGTGCATGCCTTTTTCAAATCATGTCCAATCAACTGAATTGACCACAGGTGAACTCCTGAAACATCTCAAGAATGATCAGTGGAAACAGAATGTACCCAAGCTCAATTTAGAGCTTCACAGCAAAGGCTGTGAATACTTATGTGATTTTTCAGGTATTTTAGTTTTAACAAATTTGCAACAGTTTCGTAAAAATCTTTTTTGCCGTATTTTGTGTAGAATTTTGAGGAAATAAATTAATTGAATCCATTTTGGAATAAAGTGAAGCACTATGAGTACTTTTCGGATGCACTGTAAGCAATGTGGAGTTGGAATTATAGATGACCAGAAACCACAGGTCAAAACAGTGGATTTGTGGAGTCACTGCAGAATTGAATCATAAGAGTGAAAGTTTATCACCTGCATGTGTTTTTAGGCCTGGGATTGAGTTAACATTTGAAGAGAGTTTAAAGCATTTTAGTAGTGCATAAATAAGTTTAAAATGGATTGTTTTATTTAGTACTGCTGCTCTCTCCAGAAAACCATAACGCTTATTTCACTTTAATATTTGCTCCACTGTGCTTATTTATAACTGTAGTTTGTTTATTAAATATGTATATAGAGCTATTTAAGTCATCTGATGAAATTATATTGCATATACATTAGAGAGGAAATATATTATAATGTCAAATTTCTCCAATATGCTGCAGCCCTAATAAATATTCAAAACTTTGAGTTACCTTTCATATATTTACAGACATTGCCAAATAAAATTTCATACTTTTCCAAACTGCATAGGAACCCTTCTTAGTGCCCCCCCCAAAAAAAAAAAAAAAAAAAAAAAAAAACGTGTACATGCATACAAAGTGTTACTTGCCATTTCCTTGCGATTACTTGCAAAAATTTTTAATAAATACGTCAAAAATTACTTTTTTATTTTGTGTGGCAACCTTTTCCTCTACAAATCCTGCTCCTTATATGGCAACAACAGTGAAAAGCTTGGTGGTGTTCTGTAAGTGCAGAAATGTATCCGGATATACTCTAAACAAAGGTCTGGGAGAGCGAGCAGAGGGAGGCCACATAAATCATCTCAAACGGACACGTGAACAAGTGCTTGTTGTTATGGAAAATGTTTTAAAGGGGCCTCTGGTCCTTTTTCACATGCATCTTTTGGGAATCTGCTGCAAGGCTTACAGGAAGCCAGTATAAGAGGAAGTGTTCCAAACAGCGGGAAGCCACAAGAAAAACAGCATGACACGGGGCAAATTATGGATGAATTGTTGAATTTATGAATTGTGTTATGCCGAAGATAAAGTAATGAGAAGAATGCACTCATGAGAGGAGAAAAAGCCAAACAAATTAGCATTCCTGGCCAGAAAGACCATTTAAAAACGACAATACACATATGCAAACAAAGAAGAGAAATAATTATGGCGGTGCAAATTAGACAACAAAACACTCGGGTGCCTCTGAGAATCACTAACGACCACAAATGCAAAGCCACAGGCAGAAACACCAACAAAAACAAATCAATTGTTCATTAAAGGGTTGAAGGATAATGAGAGACTCCTGAGGGTGATTTACTGGGCAGATTTACTGAGGCAGAGCTTCATTACTGCCCGACTAACTGACTGCGATGAATTCTGGGATAAGTTTTGCCGTATGGCGTTTTGAGCAGTGCATTCAGGGGGATAAACAGATCATTTACTTACCCTCATGTCATTCCAAACCTGCATGGCTTTCTTTCTTCTGCGGAACACAAAATATGATATTTAAACTATATTTCTATATATATTTTTGTCCCCACAATGGAAATAAGTGGAGTTCAATCTTACTTTGGACCCCACTGACCAAACTGACTGTGTGGGAACAAAACTGTTCTTTTGTGTTCTGCTGGAAAAAGAAAGTCAAGTTTGGAAAGGCAGAGGATTAGTAAATAATGGCAATCTTTGAAAATGAGAAATCTTGTATAATTAGTTTTTGTATATAAAGCAATGACGTTTAGACATTTGTTTAGCTTGAATCAAGGGCGTTAACACTTGGCAGGTTTGATTTGATTAAAACTAACTCTAGTGTTATTGCTTGCTAAATGTAGTTCATTAAAACAATTGCGAACCATGCCTTTTAAATTGGGTTGACTAAATTATAAACGCAACATGAACCAAATACATCAAAACATTATAATAATGAAAAACAGGAGGAGTTGTAACCATATAAATGTATAAAATGCTCAAGTATACCTGGTTTTATCTGGTCATATTTGTAACAAGCCCATTGGAAACGCATGCTTTGTTTGATTTTTTTTTTTTTGTGAAACGGCAAAAACGTAGTTAAACATTTGACTTCAGTTTGTAGGTAAAATAAAATGCTACAGGGCAGTATGACCTTACCAAACTTGGTGTGTTTTTACACTAATGATATTTACAGTGTCATATTTTGCGTCAGCATTTTTGTGAAGTTCTTCCCACAACACTAAATAAACACAACAAAACAACCTAACACTGTCTATGATTTGTAATTGAATAATACTGTAAAATAAAAATGCTGGGTTCCACACAATTGATTTGTGAAGAGTTAAGTTAATTTAGTTTAAGTTAATTAAGTTAGTTTTCACAAATTTAAGTGGATGGAATATAAAACTTTTAAGTTGCCCCCAAATAAACTAATGAAGTGTTGTTTTTCAGCTCATTTTAAATAAGCAGTTTGAACAAAACAGCAAACATCTTTTCTTGAGTGTACTATTTTTCCATATTTACAATTTTTCTGGCATAGTCAGCTTGCTGGGTGGCTCATTTAATACGGTGTTATAAAAGACGCAAAGTGGTAAAGCACAAATTTACAAAAGAGATAAAAGCAATGTAAAACCAAGGTAAAACTATGTGGTTGCACTATACTTTTGTTTCACATTTTCTTTTGAAAACACTATTAGTTGGGCTAAGGTAAAGGTTTAGATCAGCAGACAAGTTTAGAACCGGTTGATTGGTGATCTGTATGACAAATCCTGCCTTCTAGACAAATACAAGGACAAGTGTCTGAAACGTACAACAAAATGTTTCCTAAATAAAATGTTTCAGATCCACAAAAATGTAAACAGCACTCTTTAGTGAATTGGCAATTTAAAGTGTGGCATGAAAAGTACACAGAGCAACATATTTTGCTTGGAATTTCAGAAAAATGAAGGCCAAGCCATGTATTTACAATAAGCCTGTGCTGTATATTAGGAATGTTCACCATTAGAGTTCTGTTAAATGACTAATGGTAAAGGTACAGTTCAATATAGGCCACAAATATGTGTCTCCCTGCAGCAGATCTTGGTTTACTGATTTGATTTGTTTTAACGATTTAAAAGTATAAGCTCTTTAAGAGTTATAATATGATAAAAAGTCCATTATATACATAGATACAGGTTCATTTATACCAGAACAGTGCTGTTTTAGATGTTCAGTAAGTTCTGCCACTAACTATTATAGTCAGAAATACACTGATCTTAACAATTACAGTGTAAACACAAAGCAAACCAGGATCAAATGTATCCTTTTTGTTATTTAGTCTTCAACAAATAAACCAAGAGAACTGAACTTCAAGTCTGAACCCTCTCTAAGTGTGGGTTCTAATAAATCTTGTGTCACATACACGTATACTAACCTGCATGGTATGAAAGATGCGTGTTTTCTCAAAGTGGAATTCAATGTCAACAGTGGGTTGGCCCAAGGTTTCTCGATTCCATCCCACGTAATCATATCCTGGCCACACTCTCAGCTCTTTACTCTCCATGAAATCATTCCCACCTAAAACACCATCACACAGCTGGCCCAATCCTCCGAATATCACCCTAAGGAGCAGAGATACAAACGTTACAGGAGTGATGTCATCTTAAGGCATGTGCACACACATAGACGCAGATGCATGTGCTCACTTACATGTTGAAATTTCCCATGCTTGCACACACACATCTGGCTAGTGTCAATTGCTAGCGTAGCTATTGCAAACATTTCTGCTCCGTTAAAACACATCTGGGAATGGTTCTACACAATATTCATCAAGCCCACCTGACACATACACATACATGCATGAGAAAGTGGTCTGGACTTCAACATACATCACTGAAAATTAGGTAGGACAGGACCAGGTGAGATTGGAGAAGTTTATCTCAGCAAGTTTTCAATTGCTCATTTCTGACCCACCGCATGAAAACAGGGGTAGAAACTCAGAATTTTGGAGTATGGCATTCTTTTTAATAGGAACCATAACATTTCTTATCATTTTTATGCAGATGATTCTCAGCTGTATGTTTCTTTACAATATCAGAACCCTCTGCACTCTCTAATTGACTTGAGGATATTAAATGTTGGATGGCAAAACACCTCCTTCAACTTAATAATGACAAACTGAGGCAACAGTTTTAGCATCCCTTCATCTGCTTTTTGTTAATTTTAAAATTCAGTTCAGGATTTTACTTAATTGTTTTTAAAGCACTAAATGGGCAAGCACCTTCTTATCTTCCTGAATTTATTTACTTGCATTCAAGTCCTCAGTCCCTTAGGTGGACAAATAAAGTATTACTACGATTTCCTCGGTCACGACTTAAACTGAAAGGAGATAGAGCTTTTGCTGTCGCTGCTCCACGTTTGTGAAACCAGCTGCCACCAGACACTGCGAGTGCTTTTTCCCTTTCTATTTTCTTTCCAGGCTTTTAATCTTTATTGTGCTTTGTTGTTGTCATACTATTATTCTTATTATTACTTTTATTGTTATTGTTACTCTGTTTTAGAATGTGTGTTTTGATTGTATTACACACACGCGCGCACGCACCTGAGCTCAATTTAGAGCTTCACGGCAAAGGCTGTGAATACTTATGTACATGTGATTTTTCAGGTTTTTTATTTTTAATAAATATGCAACCATTTCAAAAAAATCTTCTTTCATTGTCATTATGGGGTATTGTGTGTAGAATTTTAGGGAAATAAATGAATTTACATACATATATTTGTGTATTGTATATATACAGTGCATCCGGAAGGTACTCATATGTTTATCATATTTATATATATTCATATATCATATATATATTAATGCACACAAATGCACATCATATATATATATATATATATATATATATATATATATATATATATATATATATATATATATATGATGTATATATATAAATGCACATTAACTGACCAGTAACTTTTTTGTATCAAAAACAATGTTTTTTTTTTTATTAACAAAACAATTTTTGTAAGAAAACATTGTAAATACTTGGAGACCACAATAATCAAACCCTTGTTCACAGTGACTGTGTTCTCTGGACTCTTCTCAAGTGGTAGATTTCAACCTTCTGATTGCTTGTTGCTGAACCTCGTCATAGCTCATTACCATAAATGATTTCAACTCTTTTTGAAGATGTGCCGCTCCTCGCCACTTATAGCCGCCGACTCCCATTGAAAATGAATGACTTCCAGTTACTTTGATGCTCTTGACGCTTTAGGTTTGAATGCACAGTTACTCCTGCAGCTATCCACACACCCATTCAAATGTTCATTCGGTCATTCAACTATTCACCCCCACTCTTAATGAAAGTAATTCAGTTACCTTTTGATGAGAGACAGGGGAATATAATAATGATTTTCTAACATGATATGATTAAATAATGCAAAGATGTGTGTCAACATTACCCTCCCTCTTTGCTGCCATCATATACAGAGTCATTAAAGTTGACAAGGGATCCTGACAGGTCCATTACATGACCCAAAGGAGCAGTGTATGCCTTCAGCCCATCTAACAGAGAAAAAGCACATCCCTCAAAGGTAAACATCAAGCGAGTTCAGCGTGTGTGATCAGGATGATAAATTACTTGTCATAAGTTGGACTCACCCTTCCAAACACAACCGTAGAGTTCAACTCTCAGACACACACTCATCACGCGGTCTGCCAGCGGGTAGAAACGCACCATGCGTGCTATAATAGGTGGACCCAGATCCTTGAGGACAATATCATACGTGTTTTCATTTCCAGACACAACCTGAGGCAAAAAAACACAGAATTTAGATCTCATAACCCCTTCTCGTAAACCTTATACTGTTTCTTCACGTGAGAGTAAAAACCTCCTGTCCCCAGCGGTCCTTCCAAGTCATCCAGTGTCGTCCATCCCGAGAGTAACGCAGCCGGTAACTGCGCGCGAACTCCCTGCCGAGCCCATCTGCATGACGGCCTTGTGTGCCCACCAGAGACAGAAAATGAAGCTTGCGCAGGTCCACCTGCAGGAACTCAGAAGCACTGGGGAAAACTGGACCAGCAGGACACCAAGCCCCGTCCCCCTCTCCGTTACTCAACCTAAAACAGGACACAGACACAAAAATCATGCACATGCTGAACACGTTCAGGCCTTGGTGATCATGCGAGTTCATTCCCTAATTACTTTCTGACACTCTTTTTTGCATGCATGAACGCATGAATGAATGAATTAAACATCTCCGATAAAATTTCAGGCTTGAATAATTGCAACTTAATTGCACAATAATTGTGTGATTAATTGCAGTCGTGCAATTCAGCATATTTGACCGTTTTTACAATGGTAGCATATTTTAACTTTGCATTGATAAATTTGAAATGTAACATTTTTATTATAATTGATATCTATATCTAGTGAAATGTCAGATTGAAAGATAATTGAACTGCATTTTATGCTAGTGTTTTTCAGGGTAAATGTTAAAAAAAAAAGAGAGAGGGAGAGAGAGAAAAAAAAAAGTTAAAAAATGAAATGATATACAAATAAATTATTTACATGAAATATTGCAATATTCAGTACAACAAATGGAATTTAGCATTTGAATTTATTGCATTATGACGTTAAAAACCAAAATAAAACAGTAAAAAAACGAAAGAGTTATGAGGTGATATGTGAGAGGTGAGGGCTGCGAGTAAACACCTTTGCCGCACGCACGCACGCACCTGTCAGACATTAGAGCAGTTTCCCTCATTAAAAGTGATAATTCACCCCTTGATGCTTCTTACGTCCTTGTTGCAGCACCAGTGGCACTGAAATTAGGCACCAAAATCCATATGATGCATGGTTTTCGCTACATTCATTCTTCCATGGTGGGGCGCCACACCAAAATTCATCCTGCCACGGCTACATTACAGCTTCTTATTCAAAATATTTAGTCGTGTTTAAAAAACAAAAAAAACATAAAAAAAAAAAAAATTCACACCGAAAACGTATGAAAAGGTAAGTGAATAATAACAGCGCAAACTTTTCTGTGACCATAGTAGTGCTGTGCGTTCTGTTTAACCCTTTAAGGTGACGTGCTGACTGACTGACCGGTGGGTGATGCGTGAGACCAGCAAACACAGCGTAGCTTTTAGTTATGATGAACACTTTTTCCATAATTATACTTAATTTACATGTATAGATACAGGTCTGTGGCTCTGCATATAATGACTTTATCTTGCTGGAGTTTATAGCCGTTTTACTTTACTTCAGGACGCATTAATGCCACGGTCTGCTCTGCAAGTCTATTGGAGACATTCATAAATATTCCTATCAAATCTAATAAATGTTGGAGACATACTCGGTACATAAACGCACTAAATCACACTTCAGCCACGTTTATTTGAGGGCGCGCAAGAAAATCTGCACTTCAGCCCTGTATTTAATATAACAAGAAGTTTTGTGCACGAACAGAAAAGTCGTCTCTCAAGCAGAGATTGACATGCCCGTAGGCTATTACATGAATGCGATCTTGACTCAATACTGCGCCCATGACATTTGTCAATGAAATAACGCCACATCTAGTGGTAGATATGTGTAAAATGGCCAACAGAGTCTGCCGCCACAGCTAGAAAAAAACCTAGAGGAAACACTGCAATGATTTGGTCCAGCTCATACTGGTTACAAAGGTTCTGGTGCCGTTATCAGAACCCAACCCTACTACAGAAGTCAATGGCTGCTGCTTTCCAACATTCTATACAATATCTTGTTTTGTGTTCAACAGAAAAAAGAAACTCAGGTTTAGAACATCTGGAAGGCAAATGATGAAACAATCTTCATTTATGAGTCAACTTTTTCTTTAAACCTCCTAGCATACTTTCTTCACTCAAAATCCTGAGCTGTCTTCTGGCTCAGCATCAATACGCACTTAGATCACTCAAAGAAGAAAGAGCAGCACTGAGTGTCTCGGCATTCATCTGCTGATATCACATAGGTGACGAGACACTGATGACAGGCAGCAGAGACCACAAACACTTAAACACAAGAGAGAAATGCACCTGAAATGAGATATTCCAGTGAAGTGTGGCTACTGTCACCTCACTGAGACCTCATTGTGACATAGATGAGATTGTAAAACTGAGACTACACTGAGACATTTCAGATTCACCCTTGAATCTTCACCACGACCTCAGAGCCACAGGATCAGGCTAACAGATGCTTTCAAATTTGAAATTGAAGTCTAGTCCACTTTGAAAAGTCTTTCTGAGAGAGACTTTTGAATTCATTGCCATATTAGATTCTCTGGCTATTTCATGGAAAACACTAGTTCATTAATATTTACAACTTTTTATAGATTTCATTTTTCATAAAGCAATAAAAATCTGGAATAAACAATAATATAAAAATCTAAAACAGTTTAAGTTTAACTTTTGATAAAATTCTTTTTAGTATTTTTTTACACTTAAATGTAGTATTTATTTAGTATTTTTAAAGGATTCACATTTAAAAAACATTTCCTTTAATGTATCACCAGATAAAAATCATTGTCTGATAACATCAGAAATAGGCCATTCCAAAGATATCTTTAATAGTTTGGTTTCTGTTGCAGTTTTGACATTTGGGGGGTACTGTTCTTTTTAGTAAATGTTCATGAGCGAGTTAAATGTCTTTCTAAAGAATAAGACACTAACATTAAACTGGAAGACACTGTCAAACTGCTTTCATTTCAAATGATCAACGTTGGTCCAGACCCAGTTTCAGAGATTGCAAGAACATCAAAACTGCAAGCATTCCTCCAAGTTAACCAAATTTGTTTCTGTGTAATGTTGTTTACTCGTTGGTAATTTCATCTGTGCGGCTGCTTTCAAACTAAGAACAGCATTGTTTTTTCTTCTACTTTATGAAGTGAACAACATTCAGTTCTCCACAGGAAAGCTGATTTGGAAAGAGATATAATAAAGTGTTGGAGTCTAACTTACTGTGAGCTCCAACTTTGGTAATCAATAGTGTATGATGCATTTGTTGCCATCATTTCACATCATTTCAACTTAAATGACTAGTTCACCCAAAAATGAAGATTTTGTTATTAGATACTCACCTTCATGTTGTTCAAATGCAATGAGATTTTCATTCATATTCTTTACAAAACTTAACATATTTTTAGAATTGTAGATGAAACCAGAGTATATAACTATATAATGAAACTGCGTATTAGGGTTGGGCGATAGACGATGCCATCATTCATCGCCGATGACCAAGAGATAACACGATGCTGAGCCGGCATCACGACCCATCGTCTCGCCCCCGTCACAAACCGGCTCGCGAAAAATACACACTTAGGCCCTGTTTACACTAATATGTCTTAGTGTTAAAAAGGCATTTTGGAACGAAAATGATCCACATCCACACCTTTTTACCTAGCATCTCTGAACAGCCCTCTGTTCGCTGAAAGCGCACATCACGTGACCACACACACGCACAGACTTCTCTGAGCTCCAAGCAGAGAGCAGTGCACGTCGGAGAGTTTATGAAGGATGTTCCGCTTGATCGCGTCTCACTATAGTTGTTAAACGTGATTTTCAGACATCCCAAGTCTCTTGGAAGTTCCTAGAGTCTCTCTGGAAATCACACGTCTCCCTACCGGTCCTCAAATAAGTCGCGCACCCTTTAGAATTCATTACATTATGTATGAAATGAATAGGTTGTGCGACATGGTGGCTCAGTGGTTAGCACTGTCACCTCACAGTAAGAAGGGCATTGGTTCGAGTGCTAGCTGGGTCAGATGGCATTTCTTTTCTGTGTGGAGTTGGCATGCTCTCCCTGTGTTGGCGTGGGTTTCCTCCGGGTGCTCCAGTTTCGTCCACAGTCCGAAGACATGCGCTAGGTTAATTGAATAAACTAAATTAGCAGTAGTGTATGAGTGTGAATGTGAGAGTATGGGTGTTTCACAGTACTGGGTTGCGGCTGGAAGGGCATCCGTTGTGTAAAACATATGCTGGATAAGTTGGTGGTTTATTCAGCCAAAAAAGAATTACCCTGTGTCTCTTGGTTTTTTTACGAGGCAGTCTGAAGCGCAAGCAGATTCACTTTCTTGTTTGCGCATTTATATTTGAAATAACAAACTTCTTGAGCTGATGATAATAACGTGCGCTTGATTATTGACATGCTTTTAAAACCTGATCATGTCAGACACTGACAAACGCGAGAGTGAAGCACGAAAAAACAAAGGAGAAGCCGGAAAAAAAGGAGCACATTATTTTTTCAGCAAACGTGAACAAACTGCCATGTTCAACTATCATCATCACCTTATTATGAACTCAGAACAATGGAATTATTCTCTAACAGAGGCTACATGTGCTGCTGAAGATTAAAGACACAGATGAGAGGTCAGCTCTGACTGTGGGCTATATTTTGTGTTGTTTTGAACCTAAATAAGGAATAAACGTCTGTTGTGTGTAGTTCTTCTGTAGTTGGTATCATATCGGAGACAGTAAGGGTTTGTATGTGTTCATATATGTTGCATTTATTTATTTATTTATTTATTTTATATAATTGCAGACAATACAATTTGCCATTTCGCACTGTCATTGATCTGCAGTTATAAACAACTCATGTTCATAGAAAAGTTAGTAATAAACATTTATACAGAAGTATTTGTGTATAAAGCATCTGTTTGTGAGAAGTGCTTCTCATATGATATGCAACCCGTACAGCTGTACTGTAGACATTTTCTCGAATAAAAATGACGTCAACTGAATTTTTGTCATGCACCACGCCCACCAAAAGGGTACCCTTGTTAGCGGAAACGCAAGCCTGATAAAGGTGACCCGTACCAACCCGAACCGTACTGTGCCAGTCAGTGGAAACGAGCCATAAATGAGCCATTTAGGTTATATTTTATATATTCAAGCTAACTGCCTGCTTAATGCAAAACATTATATACAATAAAATAAAAACAGAATTTATATAAAAAGCTTTAAGTAACCTGTGCACAAAATATGCATAATTTATCCTCAAAGCTTCACATCAAGCAGTTGTTTTGGATGTGTAAAGATGGGACACATGCACATAAATCCAGCCCATTCAACCAGCCGAAATAAAGTCTCGAAGGCTCAAAGTGAACTTTTGCCAATGCCACAATAATGTCATATTTGCTGCATGCATTCAAGCAAACTTATGGACGCATTGATTATAAACAAAAACTATAGAATACACAAGTCATGTCACTTGTATTGTTTTGAATGGGGAACAATATAATGGTCAATATGGCGAATGAAGCCCTGCCTACTAGTACAGGAGCCGAACATTAATCGCTATAGACTGACATTTTTCCGGGGGAGACGTGTGCTTTTACGACAGTTTGGTGGTCAACAAACACTGGAATCTGAATACTTGCTTCAAAGACATAAGAAATATGCCCACATAAAGCTTGAAATATGTACTTTTAAATGAATGAAATATACTTTAACGTAAAGTTTTTTTTTTATCTGTATGAAAAGAACACGAGGTACAGTCAGTCATGTCAAACACACATCACATGACAGCAACAACCTAAATGCTCACAAACTTGTAAACAAAGTTGCTGTTATTTCTGGAGGAAAATCTGGAGGATTCACCATCAAGACTAAGTTGTGAATTACTTCAGAAGACTGGCGTGATCTGACGATCATTATTCAGAGGATGATAATGTGTAGAACGACCATAAATGATATTGGTCTTGTGATCTCTTTCTTTTTAAGTGCGCATGCGCATTAACTCGGGCGACTTGAAGATATACACATTTTGCATGATTCAAATGTTTAGACATGAAACTTATGAGACAGCTGTTGCTTAATTTTATTGGTGATTCCAAAAATGTAATGTAATCGTAAGCTTGGCAAATAGTTTTGGAGGATTTGATGTTTCCTCATTCAGACAGAATGCCCGAGCATACTGCCTGAGAGGGGTTTCAAAGTAAGCAGCCGAGTGAAATGACTTGCCTTAAAGGTACTTTGGTATAAATCAGCCTTGACTATAACTGCAATGTTCATCATTTGATTGATTAATGTCATTTCCATCGGTTCACTACATTGTAGCTATTTCATGTCAAGGCTGTCCAGTGTTTTTCTTATTTTCAAATGCATTTTTACTTCAAATAAACCTTATGATTACCTCATGGCTGACTCGTTTGGTTCTTGGCTTATTATAACTTATTAACAAACAATTTTAAAGATGAAAAGGAGAAATATCTTTGGAACCAAGGACAGAAACATGAACCTCATGGTAAAGTGTTAGAATGTATTTATTATATAAACTAAACACATTATACTGAAGAGCACTCTTAGTACTGTACATTACTTGAAGGATCCCTTGTGGCAAATGTCAAATATATATTTTAATCTAAAAATTGAGAAAAACCAACAGACTTATCAAACCAGTGGTTAGTTTCAGATTCCCCTTTGGATGAAGCATATCTCCATCATATCCCACAGCTGTTTTTCTGTAAAAAACCTCCTGAATATCTAAACATCACATACACACACACCCCTAAAGCGCCGTCTATCCACCATAAATCCCCATCTTCATCACCTCTCAGCACGCCATCATTCCTCTAACTCTCCACCCTTTTTACCCTTCAATTCCTTCTCCGTGTAAGGCTGTATCCCCCTTTCCCTCGCCCCCTTTTTCCTTCATGCTCCTCTTCTCTCGGTTCAAAATCCCCCTGCTGTCTTACACAGAATGTGGACTTAATAACAACCACATGATGCGTGTGTTGCCAAAAGACAGAAACACACACACACACACACACACACACACACACACACACAAACACACACAAGGGTCAGATGAAATAGTGATGCTAACCTCAGAGCTTATTTGTGTATTGTTTTTGTGTCTGCTATTGTGTTTGGTGTCAATATGTGTGTGTCATCTGCTACCGTGTGTTTGTGTGTGTGTGTGGTTTTGGCCTGTACTCAGCAGCATGTGAGTCTCAGTCCAGACAGACAGTGCTGTAATGTCATTACCTAATGCTCTATATCAGGATACGCTCCATTACTGACATCTCATGTAACCTAATCACGTCCTCTCCGGAGCCTCACAGAGCCCACCAACACAAACAACCCACCACAAATCACACAAACACAAAGCCCGAGTGAAAATACAGTATTGTGGGCGCAGTACGCAGATGATGTGTGAAATGAAAGCATGTGTTTGAGCTTACCTGCCGTGTTTGGCTTCGGTTGAGTCGGACCAGGCGCTGGATGCAGTAATGTCAGAGTCAGGTATGACGCCGTCCTCCATCCCCAGAGCATAGCGGCACTTAGCTGTGGATTAAACAGGAAACACATCAGACAAGCTTTGACAACTCCTGCCAAAACTAACTAATGAGACAAAACTCATAATGAAAAATCAGGATTGTAGAAGAACACTTGTTGTGACCAGTGTGGTTAGTGGGTTTGTTCATTGAAATAAATGCATGAACCGAACGCAAGTCCACCTGAAAAGAGTAATCTGATGCTGATATGCAGTGAAATGCTTATATCTACATGGATCCATCCTGCCTTGTATCCCCGGTTTAGGCTGGTGCTGGTAGTGTAATGCTGTGGAGGATATTTTCTTGGCACACTTTGGGCCCATTAATACCAACTGAGCATCTTGTCAACACCAAACCCTACCTCAGTGTTGTTGCTGACCATGTCTATCCCTTTTCGAACACAGTATACCCATCTTCTGATGGCTACTTCCAGCAGGATAAAGTGCCATATCATAAAGCACGATCATCTCTAACTGTATTCTTGAACATTACAATGAGATCACTGTGCTCAAATAGAGCATCTTTGGGAAGTGGAATGGGAGATTTGCGCCAATCTGCTGTAACTGTATGATGCTATCATGTCAACGTGGACCAAAATCTCTGAGAAATATTTCCAGTACCTTGTTGAATCTATGCCAAGATTGATTAAGGCAGATTTGAAGGCAAAAGGAGCTCCAACCTGGTCCTAGTAAGGTGTAATTGGTGTTGTCTTTTGAAAGAATATCTGTGTGTTTAGGCAACCAAACAGCATGGCTTGACTGCCATTACAGCATCCATACTACAACTGCTACAGACGTTTGGACAAGAAAACCAGCATGTCCACCCTGCTCGGTTTCAGAGATGTACTTTAAAAACATGTAACAACACTGCCTGACATGCTGGAGTCCTTCAGCACACAAAAACACAAATGTACTGAATTACTAAAAGCATGTTTGTACTAAATTACTTATTTATTGTATATTACAATATGCACATTTGCGACACGTCAATAATTTCGATATAATTACACAGCCTTGACTTTTATTAATCACAACACTCTGACTCACCCAAAATAGTTGCAACTGATTTAGTTTGGAAATTTTTGCCTTTAATCTTGTATCTCTAATCTCTTGTGAGATGTGTGACATTTATTTTAACATTTGCCACAGGCTCTAGTTAATATCCTACCCCGATTACAGTATTGCACTTATAGGTTATAGTTCATTGTAAGACTCCAAATTACTTTGGTTAAACATCCCATGTGTGACAACAGCAAAGCGCACTAGCCTGCTAGCTTTGACAGGACTTCAACAGCATTAATATATTATTGAGTACAAAACCTAATCAAGTGTAAAACATCTTTAAAAACCACATTTAAACTGTTTTTAAATCAGATTTAGCTAGATTCTTGGAAGATCTGAGATATGAACAATAGGTAAGTGAAATCCCACATACAGCAGAATGTCAAACTCTCACAAAAAATAGCAAATGAACCGTGCTGCATTGTTGGAATTGCTTCAGCAATGCCTCACAGATGTATCGCATGCAGAGAGAAGGAGAAAAATATGAATATGGAGATGAAATGAGGACAGTAGGGAAAAATTCTGGCACAAGCACAGCTCTGAAATCATCCGCACGTCTCGCATGTCAGTCCTGTGTGTGTGGGTGTGCCTGTCAGTCTCTCTGTGTTGAAGAGGGGGTGATGGGTGAGGTTTTGGGGGGGACACACTCAGTTGCTGTAAAGTGAGTCATGAGATAAGAATGCAAAGGCTGGAAAACAAACCCTGCCCAAGCAGTGAGAGAGAGAGAGAGACACACACACACACACACACACACACACCGCAACGGTGGACAGGTGCCTGCTTCATTACATCATCATTCTCCTGCCAATAAAATGCTTTCTCTCTTCCAAACTCTGTCTCTCTCAGTGTCTCTTAATCTGTCTATCTCGCACATCTCCAGCTAATATAGAGCAGATGAGAGCTGCACTTTACACTCATTCTAGATTGCAAGCAGATGTTCTCTAGTTTTTGACAGTGAAAAGGGTCTCGATGACACCAATTCAGTCTTTTTCTGCTTCTGATTTGCACCTCCTTGTTTATTGCCCTCCCCTCAGGAAACACATTATTCTCTCTTAAATCAACAGTTCCACTGAAGGAAATGTGCTAAACTTCTGCAAGAGGGCACTGAGGGTGACTTATTTATATTAGGAATTTTATTATTTCTGAAGGATCGTGTGACATCATAAGACTGGAGTAATAATGCTTAAGATGTGCCATGACAGAAATAAATGATATTTTAATAGATGGCAGAATAGGAAAGTAACATAACATACCTTATATAGCCTAGTTAAGCAACATGACTATAGTGCTGTTTTAAAAATATCAGTATGCAACTCTCAGAAATAAAGGTGATGTCACTGGGGTGGTACCTTTTAAAAAGGTTCAAATTTGTACCTAAAAGGTCCATATTAATACCTTAAGGATACATATTAGTAACTAAAAAGCACAAAAGTGTTCCTCTTAATTTTTTTAGATATTAATATATATATATATATATATATATATATATATATATCTGAGGTACCAACATGGACCCTTTAAGTACAAATGTGTACCCTTTGAAAAGGTACCACCCCAGTGACAGCTCGCATACCTTTTAGGGCTGGACGATTTAAAAAAAAAAAAAAAAAAAAAACATTTGGTATCGGTATTTATTGACAGAACACTATTGTCAATAACGATAAAAAAAATTTGGTATGAAGTTTCAGTATGAGGCGCTATAGTTATTTTAATATATTAAAATGTGACTGCTGAGCGTGTGCCTCGGAAGGAACACCAATAAGCTTAGGGTGCAATTTTGTCATTTTCTATAGAGACTCACGACTTGCATGAGGCGCACATGGGAGCAATGCACACTTGTTTAGTAAGCGGTAGGGCTGTGCGCTTTGGGGAAAATATCTAATATAGATTTTTTTTTTTTGACCGATATTGCGATTTGATTTGAGATTTAATTCTGTAGTCAAGCTTCAGCTTAATAATCTGAAAGCAGTGGCAACAATTCTGCGCCCGCTCTTAAAAATGACCTGTATTTATTCAGTGTCTGAGTTTAAAACCAAAATAGTCCCATATTACCAATGCTCTCTCTCTTTGATATTAATTCCTCTATTAATGCTTCTGAAGCGGCAGACAGCATTATCCCACTTGTCCACGCTTTCCGGATTTATTTCGTTTTTTGTTTTTTTTTGTGGGCATTCCGCATAGTTCGGTTGCATAATTTTGATTGAAAATGTCACATACTAACTGCAACGTTACAAATTGCGATTCAGTTTCGATTAATCCCACAGTCCTAGTAAGTGGCACACACTTTCCAGGTACATCTAATTAAAAAATATCTCAACTATCTCAATACTGCAGCGCTTTTAACTTTTCCCCACAAACTTGCATCTGAAATGCAGCATTGATTTGTTTGTCTCTGACAAAAAGCTTGATGGTCGCCAGTTACGAGAGATGCCAGGGGAGGGTGAGGACAAAGCGCATTGAAAATGGATCATGAGTGAAGGTATCTTCTGAATGTGAAGAGAAGCGCAGCAGGTTATGGGGCCATTCACATATTGCATCTTTTGCAAGTGCAACATTTAGGTCGACTAATTAGCTAAGACAAACACAGAACACCAAAACATTGCAGTGCTTTTACATACTATGGATGTCAATGGTTACTGGGATCCAGTTTTCTTTTAACTGTCTTGTATGTCAAAAAATAAAGACAAACAGGATTGGAACTAGTGAACTATGAGAGAATTTTAAGTTTTGGGCAAACTATCTCTTTAAGTCTTGAATATGTCAAGCTGCTGTAAACAACTCAATGTAATATTTTTCGGTGAATAGTAGGTTACTAATCTAATTACTTTTTACATGAAGTAAGTAGTAATGCAATCAGATCTATTACTTTTTAAAAGTAACTTAACACGGTCCGCAACAAATGTGGCCAGCGAAAATGCTCAGTGTCTAGTAATAAAAAAAATAAATAAATCACTTGCCACAGTCACAAGTGTGCAAAAAAATCCTGTACAGAACACTGTGCCACGTGAACGTAGACACAAGCAGGTCCATTATATCTGCTCACAAATCTATCTGTGCAAAAATCTACTCCGTATCAGTTCATTTTCAGTGAACTCCCCCACTATCTCCGCTTTCCACTTCCCTCTGTCTTTCCATCTCTCTCTCTGTGTCTGGCAGGCAGCGCATGCAGACGCTTCAGCTTATTACATGATTAACTCTCAGTAACCGGTCATGGAGAAAAACACTGCAGCCAGAACACATGCATCATGAGTTCCCATTCTGAGCTTGGGCTTTTAATGACCACAGAAACATCTCACAGTCATTAAAAGCACATTAGAAAGCCCAACAAACAGAAAAGAGGAAGCGGACTGTGAGCGCTTGGAGACACCAAACAATAAAGATTAAAGCAATTTTGACTTTAGGACTTTTTAGGACTGTTAGGAGCCACACATCTTCACATTCTGACCACAAAAGCACAGTTTAATAAATGGAAATTGGAGCAGAAGTGGCTTTTTATATTAGTTGCCATGCATGATAGTAGCAGTTTATTGTGGCGATCAGAACAGCTAATCTTACCAGTTTCAAAATGCCAGTCCAGGTCCTGTGCTGCTGTGCAAGACGCCAGGAGGACGATGAGGAGGGCAGGCAACAATGACACCATCTGTGTTGCCATAGCAACAGCGACACCTGGTTACCTGTCCAGAGCTGAACGGTCTTCTACAGACATACCTGAAGATATAGAGAAATGAATACTCCGTTATTTGCAGAAATTTATAATCATTGCATCAAAAAATTCTCAATGTTTGACTGTAAGACTCTTTTAGGACTTTATTACAGCTCACTGCCACTGAAATTGTGTCATGACACCAGTATTGTGAATCGTACCACCTCATGTGTTGAATGAGGATGTACATGTGTAAGAAAGTAAATCTATTTTGTGTGGGATTCAGTTCATCTTCTATGAAAATAAAATACAAATCTGTATGCTGTACCTAGATTAGTACAGACTGCTGCATCAATAGTTCTGTGAAAGTTTATTCACGCATGAAAAACAACGATTAAGGCCAGGAGTTTCATTTAGCAATATATAACGTTTTTTTTCCACAAAACCTTAAAATCAAACAGTTTTTCAAAGCTTAGTGCTGGTCTCTTATTACTGGCTCAAACAGGACTTTATTCGCTTTTTAGGGTTTGCAATGGAACAACTTCAGCTTGGGTATATTCAATTCATTTATTTAAGTAAGATTGTGATACATGATACTCATGCTCACCTGAGACTTTTTTTTCATCTATTGAACACAAATGAAGATATTTTAGATGAAATGCAAGAGCTCTCTCACCCTCTATAAACAGCAATAGTTACAAAACATTCCCCAGCAAAAGAACCAAAAACACTGTCAAAACATTTAATATGATTTCAGTGGTGCAACTTTAATCATATGAAGCTCTAAAAATTACTTTATTATGCAATTTCTTCTGAATTAGATCAGGGTTAGCTTTTACTAAGCAACACTTTACTATGGAGATACTTACATGACTCTAATGGCAATATGTAGTACTGCCATTACAGTAAAAACAAACTATGACTACTTGATGCAGGAGAAAAGATTAAGGCAAAGAGGGCCATATTTTTTTTAAATGCCAAAAAAAAGTGTTTTCAGAGCTTAGTATAATTTCAATTTAACCACTTAAGTCACGTAGAATGTTTTAACAATGATTGGTTCCTTTTCTGCCCTAAAACATCTCGAAATGTTGGCGCCAATAGTCTAGTGGTTAGAGCGTCGACACGTAGCACAAGCTGCTCATGGCAAACCAAGTTTGATTCCTGGTTAAAGGTTCTTTGCTACTGTAATCCTTCCCTTCACTCAGCTCCACACACTGCCCTGTCTGTAATTTCCAGTGTCTTGTCTATAAAAGGTAAAAACCCTGAAAAAGAAATCTTATTTAAAAATAAAAAAAATTTAAAGTTTCAAGACTCTCAGATTTCATCTAAAACAATAGAATTTGTGCTCCAATAAAAAACAAAGGTCTCAGGGGTTCAAAATGACATGATGGTGAGTAATTAGCAACAGAATTTTAATTTTGGAGTGAACTAATGCTGGGTATAACACTAGAGCTGCACCATATATTTTTTTAAATTATCGTTATTGTGATAATAGTAAATGCAATATCCAAATTGCAGAAAAGTGCAATAAATTGTGCCAAGCATTGGTGTGCTGCATGTTAGGTTGTTTATCCAAATCTGACCATTTAGATGGGGGCTTTACTATATTTATCCCCACCTCTCCAGTAGGTGCTGTTCGCTGAAAAAGAGTCATTTATGTTTTTTTAAAGTTTAAATGTTTTTGATTAGATCAGAAAAAAATCTATTCCCCATTTACTTTATTGTTCATTACGTAAATAAAAGTTTTTTTAAATTGCTGACAAAATAACCTTTTTATAATGTAGTTATGTCCTAAGAAATATATCGTCATCACAACAACAATATACGCATTACATATTTTTTCAGTATCGCTCAGCCCTAGATAATTGGGACAATTTTTTGCAATCCTATGTCCGATTGTCTTGGAGGTTCTTAAGATTACCTTATCACATCTTCTTGTGGTGTGAGGTGTGTTAAGAGTGACTTAATCTGCTTTGAAGAATGTCGGAGGGCATCCAATCGCGAATCATAAATATTCAACGTTACGTTACGAAATCCTGCAGTGTGAGAGGAACTCATAGGAAAAATGTGCATACAAGCCAGAGATTATCACATGAAACAAAAAAATAACCAATCGGAAAGTAAGCTGACAGAGGCATAACAAACACAGTCCTGGTGCAGCCTAAAGTGAAATAAATTTGGACAGGAGAGATCAGCTTGTTGATTTGTGGCAGCAGCCTGAATGTTTATTCTTTTATTTGTCCACTACGCTTATTATCAAGTCTTGAGAGATTGCACAAGATGTCATGTGTTTACATTCGAGTCTCTGGTTGATTTGTTGGTGTGTGGAATGCTGTCTTTGTCACACGGCAATATACTACCTCACATTATATGAGCAAAATTAGTAAAACCTAGGATTTGTGGTCTTCAAGTTTGTCAAGTAAAAAAACTGTTATAATCCTGTCAGTAACACATGTTCAGGTAAACACACTGGGGGTTTGGTGGAAATGTACTTTCACTAGTAATTATTTGAGCTGATTTTGTGTTAACATATGGCCTTGGTTATGAGATCTCAGTGTGTGATGAGGGGAATCTCCAACATTCTACAACTTAAATCAACTGGATTGAACAGATGTAAACACTTGATATCATTTCATTTACACTGGTGGTCCATCAAGTCTAGAAACTCTCCCAAACCCAACACGCTCCTATTTCAACAGCCAAATGTACCAGAACACATTAGAAAGAGATTTAGTGCAGTACGCCATCATTCCAAGTAACACCACCCCCTTTGACTCTGTGAATATGGGACTTTTGCTTGAACAATAAAGTAATTAAAAACCAGCCATTCTTTTCTTCTTTTAGCAAATAAAATTGACTTGATACCTTATTATCATTTAAACATGAGGAAAGTAAGATTCACTGAGTAAAATACGTATTGAACTTTTTGAATATACTTCTAAAGGAACTGTTTAGATTTTGGTAAAACTCCAAACAACTCAAACATACATATAAAACAATATCCAAATAGCAATGAAATTACATAAAAAGGTACTAAACAACTGAAATGTATTTAACATTTTATTTAAAAGGCTCTTTTGGTAATGAGAGCTTCAAAACACATCTAGTATGGAGAATAATGTGACATGCATTGCTCCGGTGGACATTTTTTCAACCTCAACAGTCTAAAAACCTTAAAGGTTCTTTGGGTTTCTTCTATGAACTTGCTCAGGTGATTGGCTGGGCCATTCTAGCAGCTTTATTTCCTTTTTCTGAAACCAGTCGAGAGTTCCTTGGCCATGTTTGAGGTCATTGTATTGCTGAAATGTCCACCCTGGTTTCATCTTCATCCATTTCTGACAGTTGCCGTTCGGGTATTATTTTATGTGGAAATGCACATTTTCAACGTCATGTTCTACTTTTGATGGCATTTCTAGTGAGAAGACTATTTTACTAAGAAATATTCTCTTGGTTATCACCAAAGGTTTCTGTATTTAGTTGTTCATGATTTAATCATTATGCTGTCTCAGAAGTTTATCCGAAACCAGTTTTTACGAGGTTGTCTTCATGCAGAAATGCTGCCTACAGAGAAACTACCTGACAGGGGAGAGAGACAATAAGTCAGCTGACTAAGCTTTTGATACAACCAAAATTACAGTTTTACTTTTACAGGAATAAATACAATTTTAAAAAATAAACAAAAAACGAAAAGGGTGTTATAAATTGTACAAATACAGTAGGCAACATTTTGTCGCCTTGGAATTAGAAGGTTATATCTGCATTCTAAAATATTTTGAGATATTGAGCTTTAAAGTTTTTGCATTCCATACATCAAACAATATGTAACAGTTCTCTTTCATACATGACAGAGACCCCTAAATGTACTCTAAAATGTAAATCAACATTATCCTAAATTTGCAAATTGGGAAGAAAAAAAAAAACGGTAAATGCAGAAAAAAAAAAAACTTCTGATTTTCAAGTCATTTTCCGTGTGGAATTATAAGGTTCTATCTGGCAGATCATTAATTGAAGCATTACTTTCCAACAAATACATTCAATACAATTTGCTTATTCTTTCAATTTTTTTGCTTTCTATCACATTTAATTAATGTTTAGATGAATATTTTTCTTTTTCAAATTAAGCGTACAAGGCTGTGCTAAATATTTTGTCCAGTGTAAATGTTACGGTTATGTAATTAATATGGTAATATTTATTGAATTATACGCCTTTTATGTTTTATTCTATTATGTTTATTGAAATATATGCCCCATGAATTAAATTAAGTTTTGCCCTTAAAAGCTTAATATCAAATGAAAGACTTTAAAAGAAAACAGACAATGAGCAAATAAGTCGTTTAACAAAGTTTAATGAACACTGGAAATGTTTCACTGATTAGATACACACAAATAAAAATATATTTTACATTTAATATATTTAAATTTTTATTAATAACTTTTTAAAATAACATCTCAATGTTAAAAAATGCCTCTAAATCATCACATTTACACACTTTTTTTTTTTTAGTTTCAGGTTTCTTCTCAATTTTATAAAAAAAACTATTTTGTTTCTTTCCGTTTTTTTCTTCTTTCAACGGAGCAATCCGGCAAAATGACAAACAAAGCTGACCCTGATTGGTCCTTATGCGTGCATTTGAAATGCTGATTGGCTCACAGAAAGAACCTTATATAGCCAAGCTAGAGTTCGACTTTCAGATAAAACCTTTTTTGTTTTTTACATAAAAAGTCTTGAAATGTAAACAACGTATACAAAAACACAATGTAAATAAGTTGTCATTTAATAAGAATATGTGAATACCTCAATTTTGACAAAAAATGTCAAATAGAAACTGATTCTGGTGACTATTTAAAGTGGATCAAAAAGTTTTTCAAAATAATTAATTTTTTTGATTCACTTCAAATGTTGACTACTGTATTTCATAATACTCACTGTCTTTTACTGTTTGTTTCACCGCCTAGATAAGCATCAGAGAGAAGAGAAATGATATTGTCTCAATACACTTATTACCCACCAGTAAGATTTTCTGTCATTTAAACTAATAAATCCCGATGCTGAAAATTCAGCTTT